TTAAAAAGAGATTTTTTTGAAGAATATAATTTGAGAAATTTGTCTGCAAAATCTTGTAGAATATCCCCTTAGTTTCTGAACGAGGAACCCTTTAATTTTACGTAATGTATGTGGACAGATTATTTATCGAAGATATACCACACATCAAAAAGTATGCAAAATAAAGAACACTACACTAACGTCCTAAAATATGACGTGTCTGGCCATTTATTTACTATTTTTACTTGGTGCTTCTCACTATCGTTTACTCCTTCACGCACAGAAATTGGCCAATCTTTCTTTTCTGTCTGCCAACTAATGCCCATCACGGAATTTATTCCTACGAGTCTCAAAGAATCAAAAATTACTATCCAAAGAAATTAATCAGATAAATTTGACCAAGTACTACATCTTATTTTTCCAAAGTTTTCGCTTATTTTTTATAATTTTCCCATCGCCTCCCAGATAAATAATTATTAATTTCGGATTCCCTGCGACTCGTAGAAACATATCCTTTAAAGTTATTCGTTACCAGTCAGGTCCAAAAGTGGTTAATTGTCTGACATTGTCTTTTTTAAACTCGATTTTCTCGAAAACGAAGCCTCGAACGAAAAGACTGTATCCCTTCTTGTCGACTTATATTTTCATAAAGAATCACGACGAGAAAAGAAGGAATTAAAAATACCAAAAAATATCAAGGGAGTAAAACACGTTGGACCAATGGTGTTTGATATTTTCGAGACCACGGGATGCTTTTGGCTACAATCAAAATTTAGGAAACAGCTACCGTTAAGACCCAGTGTATTTCCTTCGAAAATACAAGTTGCATCTTGTCTGCATTCTAAATTGCGCGCAGTGCATTTACGTTAAAGTTCACTCGAGCGTAGTTTCATAGCTAGTACGCTGCTTTCATAATTCGAGTAACGCTCGTAACAAGTTTGCGAAACACTAGCGCTCCGGGGATCGTCGATTAAGAACCACTGCGTTGGAGCAAAAACCATTAACGATAAGTCTTATTTTGTATGAAAAAAAAAAAATATGAAGTAAATTATCTTTTCGGTGGAAGAAAATTGAATTGGTTGAAAATCAATTCCTAAATACAATGGCCTGTCTTCTTCCGATCGCTGATCGTATTTCTTACTTCAGTTTTCTATCTAAAAAGAACCTCGTGAATTAGCCTAAATTGTACCATTTGTAAGCGAAGTATAGAGGAAACAAATACTGCGGCGTAGGTTAAAAATCAATGAATACTAAAATATTCTTGACGGAATTTCTGATACAAGTAACGCTCGAAATATTGTCCGTTCCGCTCGATAGAAATGCGTAATTGGTTAATGACTGACAATGAGTGACACAAATTGACGCGTATTCGCATCATTATATACGCCATTACAACATATAATTCTATAACTACGGAAGCCCCACAACGTACTCATTCATTAACCGATTTGCATTACATCGAGCATTACAAACAATATTTCGGGCATCGTTTGCGCTAGAAATCGTATCAAAAATATCCTGGTAATTATTGATTTTCTCTACACTCTATCGTACTGCGGAGTTGAACATTGTTTAACCGTATCGTCGACTTCGGATTCGTTGTTTTATTTTCAATTAGATCGTGATATACGAAATATCGGTTCAATGGAGGCGTCACTAATACTCTAAAGGGAACTAGTGGAGTAAGATACACGTCAAACTGTCAGGAAACTCACAGGATAGATTGGCACGAGTGCATAGTAGTTTCCAAACGCACAGGAGAAATTGATTTAGTCGAGAAGCTTGAAAAGTGGGTTCCAACCGAAGCTCAATGAGAATCGAAACAATCCTTGGATCCGGATAGTTTATATCAAAATAAAATGTAGACGCTTCTACAAATAAAAATAAAATCTCAAAGTTTTCCTGCATCATCCTGAAACGCGATGCTTTTTAAATTCTCATTCGATTTCTCATTCTTTAAAGTCCTTTGAACGATTATTAAATTACAGTACATTCACGGTATTCACATATCATCCTGTTCAATCTTAAATAAATTGAACAACCCTCGACGAAACCACATCGTTTTCTTCCATTATCTTTGCAATTCCGCTTCAATTCCTCCTCGACAACCCCTAACGAGTTATTTATTCCTTCTTTTCAACTTTTCATTCTTGCTAGCAAAGTGTTCCAACGTCTTTCGCGAGGTTACATCTCCTTTCGTATTTCCACAGTACCTGTTACCTTTTTTTTCGCTTCCTTCTCTCAATCTTGCTATTATTCACATCTTTCTTCCTTTGTCGCAACTCCTCCGTCTTTAAATATCTTAGTAGGTCAACGACCCTCGCGTCCTTGTACTTCCCCTATCCTGTACGTACTATCCAACTCTCAGTACGTTCCGGTTTCACGATTCCACCGCCATCAACGTCTTTATCCGTCTCTGCCCCAATCTGTCTACCACGGTGACCAAGTACACGTATCTCCTGAAATAATTCACTTCTCTTCGTTCCTCCTTTTCCAACTTTTCCCTTTCCAGCTTCCCTTCATACATTACTATCCTTTTACGAGTCTTCGTTCTTATCTCGTCTCTTTTTAACTGAACGGTGCCCCGACATCGATCTATCCATCCCCATTATCCATCTTAAATATCTGACACGCGCCTTTTCCATAACCGTCTCACTCCTTCCCATCTCCGCCACCATCCCCCCACCCCCCACGTACATCAATTTGCTCTTAACTATTGCATCAAATAATTTTATCCTTCGCTTTATGTTCACCCTCGGCTCCCTATCCCCTAAGCTCCTTATATACCTCACTGTCACCCTCGCTGTTTTCGTTCTATCTCGTTCCTCTCTGTCATTTCTCATCGTCGTAACTTCACGCTGCGCGACGAAACTATTTTTCTCGCAAATATCTTTCAGACACCTTCGCTAGACACAGCGAGACACAAGCTTACGGAATTCGTATTTGAAGTAAGGCGGAAACGAATTTAATTTACGAAATACAAATATAGATTTCGTATTCATGGACAATTAATTATGGAAATTTTTGCTGTTGCGTTAACTATCGACGATTCAGAAGCATTTCAAGTTAAATATTTTCACGACGAGCATAGAATAAAAGATATTTAAATATCTTCAACCAACGAAATAAATATTCTCGAATTTTTCTTATGCACTCGTCCAATTTGTACTATTTCAATTTATAATTTAAGAAACTACGGATGGCTAACTAATTTTCACGCAACTTTTAAATAAATATTTATTTTTTATTGAAAATCGTAAATTGATTTGTTGAAATTTTATGAGCGACAATATCTACTATGTATAATCTATATTCTCTTGTTCCTTACATATTACATCTTCCGTACTAAAGGATTTTTTAACAAAGAATAATAATAAATTCATAGATATATTTTTGGAATAATAAGATAGCGAATTTATCCTTTATCCTTTATCCTAAAATTTTACCCCTGGTAAAAATTTTAATGAGAGATTCTAGACCCCAAAATAAAATAAAAATCAAGGATACTAATTTGTTGAATGAGGCTTCGTTAAAAAGTTACAGAAACATTTTCAGTAAAGAATTTTTTTCTCGGAAATACGTAGGATTTCGGGGGTATGTGTATTCACCAAAACTGATTGTAATTGACCCCCGCAACAGAAAATAATTTTTTTAGAACGATTTGAAATTTTTTAATTTAATACTTTTAATACAGGGGAATGATTCATTCATGGTCAGACATTGTAGTTTCGGTAAAGAATTTTTTTTGCAAAATTGTGTAGGATTTCTGGGGTATGTCTATTCACCAAAAATGATTGTTATTGACTCCCGCAACTAAAAATAATTTTTTCAGAATGATTTGAAATTTTTTAATTTAATTATTTAATAACTTGTTAACGGAGGCTCAATCAAGAAATTGATATTCTTGATTTTCGTCTTATTTTTGCCTCTAGAATCTCCCATTAAAATTTCCACCAGGGGTGGCCGAACACCCTGTATATTTGATATTTGATATAACAAGCGTTATTTTAAGTTGAAAAACGAGCTCTTTCGATGAGAAAAAGAGAAATTCCCGTTACTTTATCGCGCGATTCAGTTTCACCAAAGTCCAAAGACGAGTTTTTTCGTATCGTCGATCGCACGGAGGTATCGAGACGAGGTTCATCAATTTCCTCACGGTTCCGCGAGCATCGTCCGCGAGGAGTACCCCCCTATATACCACCTAGACGAAAGCATTCCAAGCTATCTCTTCCTCCCCCCCTCTCGTCAGTCTCCCTCGACTTATAAACGACGGAACTGTCCTTTGTAACGCGACGCCCGAGCATTTTTAATGACGACGAAATCGACACTTTTAATTATGAAAAAGTCCCTCGTCGGAGGAGCCGCGCTTCGATCTTGGACTTTTCGTGCCTTTGCCATCCAACGGTACTTTCCCCTCTTTCTTTCGACGCCCGGCGACGCCTCGCCTCCGTCGTCCTCGTTCCCTTCGTCGTGTCGCCGAGATAGAAACATCGGGAGAAAAAAAATATTCACCGCGCTTCCGTCGCAGCGAGCCCATTGTCTTTCGTTTTCTATCGCGATGCGCGGCAGGCGTGGCGGCTTTCAGAATCAAGAATCTCCCGTGGTCTTTCACGCTCTTGCCTCTTGTTCTTTCCTCCACCCCGCCCCGACCAGCGGGGGTTTCTACTTTCGTTGATATCCCGTCCGCGACGCCGGAGCGTATCGTTCTTAACGAGATGGATTCGATTGCGTCGCGGTCATTGTACGATGCGAATGGCCGGGATTGATCACCGACTTTTCATTCTCTACTTTTTCTTTCCACCCCCTCCCCACGCCCTTTTCATCCGCGACCCGAATGGGAACGAGACTGATCGAAGCTTCCAGCGGACCGCGGACACCGCTAAAAAAGATTCCTTCCGATGCTCGTACGGTGTCCGGCGAGCTGGCCTTTGAACCACGCGTGGAAAATATGAGCACGCGTCGAGGTACCGTTGGGACTGTTTTTTTGATTTATCGAGGTGGTAATTGTTTTTTGTTTCTAGACGCACCACCCGTGCTGCTGTATTCGTTCATCGAGCAGACGCTGCAACCTGGACCCGCAGTATCTTTGAAATGTTCAGCCGCAGGGAACCCTACGCCTCAGGTTTCTTGGGCCCTGGACGGTTTTCCCCTGCCAACCAACGGAAGGTAGGCGTCCTTTAATTATGTCTAAACCGAGAAATAGCCCCTTTACGAGACCAACTGTAAGGATTGATTATAAAAATAGTCTACAATGACGAGTCTGACTCGTTGCACGTACTTGATGTTGTATACTTTCTTAAACTCTTTGGCGAATTTTTTGTAAATAAACTATATCACCATACGCGGTAGAATTTACAGGGTTTATTTATGCATGTTTCAGTGATATTTTAAAATTTTGTGAGTGGAAAGCAATCGAAATTGGTGGCGCTGCATATTCTCGAGCAGAGTTGCGTTTAAAAAAGGTCGTTTCACGGTGTTCGTTTGAAATGAAAAACTGTGAAACATTCCTAATTAGTATGAGCTTGACTATACCTGGTGCCAGAACAAAAGAAAACTATCGATAGTTAAAGAAATGGTAACACTTTGAAGTTTGATAATCGATATTTTTATTTTTCTTTTAAATTCCCGGGGCCTAAAGGAAGACAAAAAATAAAAATATTGAATTGATATCTAGTACGAGCTATAGCCATACATGTACTAAACGTGCACCTAGAATTTCAAACCAACTGGTCGAGTAGATTTTTAGATATCATGAACACTATTCTGGTAAACAAAGTTTCGTTAATTGCAGGAACTCAGGCAAAAGGTTTCGCAGATATATTTCTCAAACCATATTCTTTAAAAAAATGCAAAATAAAAGAAATCGATTTTACCAAAAGTTCGCCCCAGAGTACTCCCTTAAAATCAAAACGTGTTTAAAATAAATTTTGTTTTCGCGACCATTGTAGGAAGAAACTTAAACAAAATTAAATAGTATACGTTTGAGAAATGATTTAAAATTAAATCGTACGTCAAGGAATTAAACTGTACGTTTCGAAACGACTCGGGAATATTCTAGAAACGAGTAATTCGTCTTCGATGTCGAGCTGTGCAAGTTTAATTTATTTATGTAGCTAATAAAGAAATTGAAGCGATGGTAAAGGGGGAACTACGCGGGGCGGAGTAACGCGCAAGATTCCGGACAAATTGCCGCCATAAAAGCTTAATCCTCGCAATGAAAGTCTAACGGGTAAACATCTTTATATCCGACAGTGAAGGAAACGTCGAAATCAACGAGTCGAAAGACCTCCGTTCGTTGGTTCCGATGGTCGCGGAAACGCGGTACGACCATAATTCACAAAGGATCGTTTTAACGCGTGCTCGATACCTCGTAATTAAAACGCAATCTCCCGTCGGTGATTGTCGCTGCCGCATCTGCAGCGAGCCAATTTCAATTTCAAGTGCAATACCCAGGCAAGGTGGTGGAATATTTATTGCGACGGGCCGTTGGAGTGCCGGCGTTCGTCGAGAATGGAAAAGGCGTGGGAAGGGTGGACACGAGGATATGACGACACGGAGGCTCTCGTACGTGTTTAACGACTGATAGACATAAAAGACGTCCTGTGATTCTTCGACGGGGCCGTTTTATCGCTCTCGACCATTTCCATCCCTCGCGACGGAAAATGATCCTTTGCTCTTGTCCGTTCCGTGGCTCGAATCGTCCTTCGAGAACCTTTTCCGCTTTATTCTTATACAATAGACATATTATGCTTGAATTTTTTTAAATTTCCTCGAAAATCAAATTTTAAAATTATAAATTTCGAGCCTCGGTATTTCTATATTGTTTATATATGAGCTCTCTATCTCGACTGTGAAAATATCATTATATTTTCTCTGGTACGCTAATGGATTTTCGTACGGTAAATGAATAAATATCTTATTGCTGTTCGGGAGCGAATCTTTAGCCATTGTATTAATGTATCTGTAGCTCATATTGAACAGCTGTTTGTCAAAGTATATTACGGATTTAAATCTATTGTTATTGGTGCTGTTTACATGCCGCCGGGCACCGTTCCATCTATTTACGAGGCTCATGGCTTGACGGTTGAGGAAGTTATTCTTTCAAATAATAACTCGGATATTATTATTGCTGGCGATTATAATTTATCTCGTTCGCGAATATTTAATGTTCAGGATGGACTATTGACTCACTCTTCTATAGGTTTTTGTCCCTCTGAAAAGCAATCTGAAGTTATCTGTAACTATTTTAATCTTTTTAATTTATATCAAATTAATCCCTCCTCCTCATCCGAATATCTACTTGACCTCGTCTTTTCGTCATCAAATAGTGCTGTGATTTCACCAGCATCTGAACCTTTCGTACCTCCTGACTCTTATCATCCTCCTCTGGATATTGCTCTTCCCTTACCTCGCTCTTTTCAATCCGCTTCTTCATTCATTGTCAAAAAACTTTTTCATAAAGCTAATTACCAGGAAATAAATTATTATCTCTCCACAATAGACTGGGATGGTATCATAAGTGGTTTATCCGTAGATGATTCTGTAGATTTTTTATATCAACAGCTCAAATTTGTGATTGATAATTTTGTTCCATCTACCACATACCAAACTTCTTTATATCCTTCCTGGTTTTCTAGTGAACTTATCTCCCTTATTAAACGTAAAAAAGCATTCCACAGACGTTTTAAATTCACCAAATCCTACGAAGACTACCTAATGTTTTCCAATGTTAGATCGAAATGTAAAAGTCTTTCGATATACTGCTGGAATAAACACGTTACGCGCGCCGAATCATTCATTCCCCTAAATCTAAAATCGTTTTGGAATTTTATCAATTCGTTAAAGAGATCTAAATCACCTGCCTCTTGTTATATTTATAAGGATAATATATTGAAGGACAATTTATCGGTGGCGAATGCCTTTGCTGAATTTTTTGAATCAGTATACACACGGGATACTGTCCACAGTAATTCTACTGATTTCGAATACCCCTCTAATATAAATATTTCGAACCTTTCACTCGATATTAGTGAAATATTCACATGTATTAATGAACTCAAGAATAATTGTGATCCAGGATATGATAATATTCCTCCTATATTTTTTAAATCATGTGTTTTTATCATGTCTAGGGTCCTATGGTTGATATTTAATAAATCTTTATCTGCTGGCATCTTTCCTAAATTATGGAAGTTATGTTTAATTAAGCCTATTCCTAAATCTAATAACGCAACGTCAATATCAAACTTTAGACCTATTAGTACTCAAAATGTCATGCCTAAGATTATGGAAAACTTAATTAGTCGTAAACTATCATTTCTTTGCAAAGACATCATCATTGATGAGCAGCATGGATTCGTAAGCGGTAGATCGACTGTGACTAACCTTGTGGAGTACCATTACTATTTAACTAACTGTATTTATAAAGGCATGCAGGTTGATACTGTTTATACTGATTTTTCTAAAGCTTTAGATTCTATTAATCACTCAATCTTAATGTCCAAATTAAAGGCATTAGGAATAAACAGCTGTATGCTCTCTTGGCTATCCAGCTTTTTATCAGACAGAGTTCAAATAGTTAAATTCAATAATAACTACTCTAGAGAAATTAATGTTACATCTGGTGTTCCACAAGGTTCACATTTGGGGCCTCTTCTATTTATAATATATATTAATGACATCTCTAAGGTATTCCATCAGTCTAAATTTTTATTATATGCTGATGACCTTAAGATATTTAAATGCATTTATAATCAGCAAAGTGCTCAATCACTTCAAGATGACCTTTACAGGCTTCAGAATTGGTGCTCATTAAATAAATTGTCCCTCAATTTAGATAAGTGTCATACTGTTAAGTTTAGTAATAAGAAAAATAATATCGTTTATAATTATACTTTAAATGGAACCGTGCTAACCTCTCTTAATCATGTTAAAGATCTTGGAATAACTTTCTCCTCTAATTTATCCTTTAAAATTCACTACGAAAAAATTACTTCGCAAAGTCTCCGCTCTTTGGGACTGATTCATAGGGTTTCCAAATATTTTATCAAAACCAAAACACTTAAAATTTTATATTGTGCCTTGACGAGACCTATTCTAGAATATGGCAGCATAATTTGGTCTCCTTATCACAAAACATACATAAACAGCATTGAGGGAGTTCAACACAAATTTCTTCGTCTTGTTGCTAGACATAGTGGGAGTCCCATGCCTCTTGAGTCTCATAATTACGATGGCTTACTTATTAATACTAATCTCCAAACACTGCATAATAGAACAAGAATCGCAGATATTTTATTTGTAAGTAAGCTAATCAAAGGTCACATTTCGTCTTCAACAATTATTCAATTGTTTCCGTTGTATGTACCGTCTAGATATTTAAGAAATCACTTTCTTTTTTACCCTGAAACTTACCGCACAACGTTTGGATCTCAGAATTGTGTAAACAGAATGATTACTAATGTAAATTTCGCACACACAAAAACAGATTTAATTGAACAATCATTAGAAAGTCTAAAACTATCCTTGCAACGTATTGTAAATTAATTTATTCTTGTTACGTTCACTAAGCGATAATGTTTGACTATGTAAAATCCACATCTGTAGTTCCTTAGATATTACATCGTTGTACTAAAGGGTTTAATTACCCGTTAATAAATGAATAATAATAATAATAATAAAAATATCGTCGATGCTGGATGCTATAAATACGATCTAATACCGAAAGAACGAAATATCATGCGATGCATCGAATGTAATTTTATTCATTTTAATTCATATTCATTCAATTTTCTTAATCCCTATACGAAAGTATTAACGTATACATGAAATAGCTCGAGAGTTGTAATTTATATATTATAGAAAGAAATCGGATAAACGGACTTCTATACGAGTATCTAAAGAATGCAGAAATAACGGAGAAATATTTACTACTGGGAATATGATTAAAATTGTCAAACATGAAATTTTATAATTAAAAACCACCAGTCTGCGACGTGTAGCAAATTGAACATCGAACATTGCTTGTTCGCTGAAAGCAGAATTACCTGTTAATTTTCGAACTTTGATTCATTAATAACTATGATTGAAATTTGGTTCTCGGAACCAGCGCCGATTAAAGGCTATTAAACACGGCTTTCCGTTATAACTACGACCACCACAGATTTTGAATTTTGAAGTCGAATGACATTTTCTACATGCAATTAATTTCTTTGAAAATTTTTTACAAATCACACGACTTTTCAACACGAGAGTTTCTCCTGCCTCTTAACCCATCTTTAAATCTGACAAAAATTGTAAAAATTGCGCAACGATACGTTCAGACTATCTTAGGAAAGATACAGTTATAATTCGAACTATAGAAAATAACTCTATATTTAACAAAATGGTAATTTGAAGTTCGAGCATCGATTTTCTTCTATTTTCGGTCTAGTGTCTTTAAAAAAAAAAAATTAAAATACTTTCGAAGTCAATTAGACTCCGAGATGTCAGGTATCTATCGATATTAACCCCCTCGCCTTATGATTTAATTTCTAACTGTGCGTGCCAAAAGCGACACCAAGGTTTGGCCCGGTTGTCACGTCTCTGAGACGTAATTGTAAGCTAAGGGGTTAAGAAGCATACCGCCGGACTAGTCTGATTATTATCCACGATACAAATATCACCCAGACCACATCGTGTGTTCGTCGTCGTTACTGCCAACGAACCCGGAGCCATGAAATAGGATTTGGTCTGTTACGAGTTCGAGAAACTTAACACTAATGATCAAGGGTCATGAAACTGGAATCCACCCTGCTCGGGTTCGTGGAATCCAATACGAGCAGATCTCTGGGGTATTGGTAGGTCTGCAAAGTACTGGGAGTCTCAGGAACTTGATGGGATTTTAGGTGTCCAAGTGAGAGGGTTTCGAGGTTACTCAGGACTCTAGAGAGTTTCTGGGTCTGGATCTATAGCAGTGATTCCCAAACTCCTCCTATAGCGACCCATTTTGGACGATATATACGATCCGACAGGTCCATTAACCCCTACGGTAGCACTATTTTTACGAAATGGCCGTAAGAAACCATCGGAGACAAAGCGATAAATGCCAACCTGAAGTGTAAAATTATTAACCAGCTTCTTGGTCGGAGACCTGAATTGATTCAAACTGGGAAATTTAGTCGAGTGAAAATTGGATTCGTGGTGTATCGATTTTCAGTCACATCGTTTCGCACACAAAACACACTCCAACCGTGACTCCAACATTGTATTCTGGTATCTGGTATCTTCGAGACACCGCGTAGATCCAACTGTAACATATAATTGATACAATGATTCGTAAACGAAAATAATTTGATATCTTGATGATTAAATGGTACGTTTCTATGCGTTCACTTCATCTTTAAGCGTGAACATTTTTTGGTATGTAAGAACTAAAATCTCAAACAAATAACAATAATAGGTACGCGTAAAAAGAAAATAAAAGAGGAAAATTAATAGAGACATTACACTTTCTATTAAGTGTAATGATCGGTAATACGAATACACGCGTTCCGTTTGCTGTTCAGAGTGTACGTAGTCACTTTTCATTAAAAAAAGAATTTCTGTTTTGCGTTCAAAGGTTCGTCATAGGTCAATACGTCACAGTCCACGGCGACGTTATATCGCACGTCAATATCAGCCACGTGATGGTGGAGGATGGAGGAGAATACTCTTGCACGGCCGAAAATCGAGCTGGAAAAGTCACCCACGCTGCACGCCTCAACGTTTACGGTAAATTCAAAATTCGATCAACGATTAAACCACGCGATTCGATTTTAACAACAGACTGCTTTCCCGAGACTTTCGTATTAACGCTTGATAATTGTTCGCGTTTTAAATTATTCGAAAATACAGCTCGCGATTTAAACATTATTACCGCCCTCTCTTTTATTGACTCGAGTTACTCGAAGCGACGGTATTCGCTCGTTTAAATAGCACGGTTTCAGACGGAGAAAGTGGTACTAGCTCGTACGCTGTCAGACTGCTTCTTCAAATACCAAGTTCATTTTTTGCCTTATTACGGGGGCGTGGAAGCTCAATATTAGTTCTACTCCATTTTGCATGAAACCCGGCACACGAATCGCAATGTCTACGCTTTTGTGCCACGCTTCAACCGTATGGGGAACGATTGCATTGCACAGTGGTAGTAATATGACGTTCGTAATCGGCTCAACGCGACTCCGCTTTTGGATTAACTTGCGGCGCGTTTAACCCTCGGTGAAGCGAATGCGGGGTCTTTTTGACCATGATTGAGCTTTTTTCGTATTCCGTATTCGTTTATAATGGTTACTCGAAAGAGACAGGAGATACGGAAATATTTTTAATACCTCTGGATTGTCGGTTATCCTATGGGATTTTTCAAAAATTCCATAAAATAAAACGACTCGGGTTCTGTATAATAATATTCTTCGTATATTGTACAGCCATATCAGTTCGTACAGTACATATTTGCCTACGTAAATCCTACGTATTTTCGAGAAAAAAATTCTTTACCGAAAATATATCGTGTGGCCGGAAATGTTTCTATAACTGTTTAACGAAACCTCGATCAACAAATTAGTATCCTTGATTTTCGTCTTATTTTGGCCTCTAGAATCTCCCATTAAAATTTTTCCCCAGGGATGGCCGAACACCCTGTATACTGTAATGGGTTTTTACAAATGACGAATTATAAACGAATAAGAATAATTTCCAATTTCAGGTCTTCCATATATTCGACTGATCCCGAAGGTGACAGCCGTCGCGGGTGAAACTCTGCGATTGAAGTGTCCAGTGGCCGGGTACCCGATCGAGGAAATCAAATGGGAACGAGCGAATCGCGAGCTACCGGACGACCTTCGCCAGAAGGTGCTCACGGACGGCACGCTGGTAATATCGAGCGTACAGAAGAAGGGCGACGCGGGGGTGTACACGTGCTCGGCGAGGAACAAACAAGGACACAGCGCGAGAAGATCCGGCGACGTGGCAGTGATCGGTAAGGCCTCAAGTTCGATTCCCTGTTCTACGACTGTTGCAGATGAACGGCTCCGCCATGGACCAAAACGAAACAAAGACGACCACGCCGTCGTTCAGGTCCGTTCCTCGAGAAGGTACCAGTGGAACGAGGGGTATAATAAATTTCTAGGATTCTCAAAGGAAGGAGGTTCCCCGCGGATGATCGTGTTTATCCGCATCTATGCATCTCGAGTTCACGAGCTGTCGTTGTTGTTATTATTCCAGTTCCTCCCAAAATTAGCCCATTCACGGCAGATCGTGATCTACACCTCGGCGAACGAACCACGTTGACTTGCTCGGTGACAAGGGGCGATCTGCCACTCTCGATCTCCTGGCTCAAGGACGGACGATCGATGGGCCCCTCGGAGCGTGTCAGTGTCACCAATATGGACCAGTACAATAGCATACTGATGATTGAAAGTTTATCTCCAGATCACAATGGGAACTACTCGTGCGTGGCCCGTAATCTGGCCGCAGAGGTATCGCACACGCAGCGGCTTGTGGTTCATGGTAATCCTCCTCTAGGCCCCCTTCAGTTTTGCCCGACGACCGCCTGACCGCCCGAAATCCGTACGAGTGACGATTTGGTGTGCGTGCGTACACGGTTTTGCCCACACTCGAGAATGAAGCGCGTGAGGATCTCGAATCGCTGTACAGACGAGTCAAAACTCGCGCCGACCGCGCGTTGCTTGCCACCATCCCCGGAAATACAGACCCGGTGTCTGGCGTTTGCTGTGCCGCTGTAAATAGCTTTCGACGTTTTCGAGGGTAAACGATGTTGAGAAACCGTGACGAAAACGCGCGACAGCCCGTTCAGTTCTTACGCTGTTCATTCGAGAAAGATTTTTTTTATCTACGACGCCTCAGACGTCACCCAGGAACGTAGAGACCTGGTGACGCGTTCTCGATGACGGCACACGCTTAGCGTGCGCTCCATCCTCCTGCACGAGACCTGCCACGTGTCCTACCACGACCTCCACGATCCCTGCGTCGACCTTTCGGAACCGGCCACCATGATCGAAAGAGAATTTTGTTCAATTTATAGCGCGCGCGAGAGGTTTCGAAAGATCGACGCTGCTAGCTCTTGCGTTGAGAACGATCGTATGCTGGGTGAGTGTGCGATGCCAAATTATGTGTACAAGATGTTTAAGGGCGGCAGGGGCAGGTTCGCGGGGCGGGGCCAACCTCTCTCTCCTCTACATTGCTACGTTACTATACTGCCTCTATTGTACATATTCTACGTATATATATATACATATTATATTCTATATATATCTATACATATACATGGACGTACCACTGTCTATAAAATATATATATACATACCGCTACCATATTATACCGTATATATATATATTTATTACATATATATATAAGAACACATATGTACCTGGTACAAAAAAAAAAAAGGTTCTTGCGTTTTTTTTGGTGCCATCTTTTTCTCGCTCTCACGTATGGTTCTCTCTTCTCTCTTGACCTTTTCCAGTACCCCCTATTATTGAGCCATTTACGTTCCAAGAGGGACTATCCGAGGGGATGCGGACGCGGACGGTGTGCGGGGTCGCGGCGGGTGATCCACCCCTAACCATATCCTGGCTGAAAGACGGCCAAACCCCTTTCCCATTGCCACCGAATCTGGCGTCCGTAGCAAACGTCTCCCAACTGGATCCTTACTCGAGCCTCCTCAGTATAACGAACCTCGCGGCCGAGCACTCCGGCGACTATACCTGCGTCGCCGCGAACCCCGCCGCCGAGGTCAGGTACACGGCCAAGCTACAGGTAAAAGGTAACTAGATGATCGGCGACCCTTTTCCATCATCGTCAAAAAAAAACCACCACCACTACCACTACCAACACTCGTCCTCGTCAATCTTGTCATCGATCTCGACGTGGATCGACTCCCCTTTTCACTGCATTTTGTTCTACATCTTTGAAAAATTTTCACGCGAAACTAGGTTTCCTTCGTCGTCGTACTTCCGATGAATATTTCACCGAACGATCAGCAAGTTTAGAATCGTAACATCGCGAGTCTTTCTACTTTGACAGAGAATTACTAATATTTCATTTCAACGTTTAACGATTATCTTGCTTCTGTCGCTGAGAATAAACAATCTGTTCGGTTTACCTGTACGAAGAGTCTTGTAGATTGCGTTTAATAATCTTGAATGTTAATTACGTACACCGTCTATTCAAGAAGCGAATACACTTTGCGATAGAATCATCGTCGAGGTCGAGGCGAATTCCGATGAACGTCCCTCGCCACGTCCTCGAGAGTCCATCGAATCTCCTTCATTATTATCGTTATCATCGTCCATTGACCATCGTCACGTCATAACGCTTACTGACTCGACTCCTGCGTCACGTTATTCATCGACGCGTTCTCGCCCGGACGAAAGACCAGCTCGAAAGCTCCGAAGGGTCTCGATAAACACGGATAAAGTAAATTAAGAGAAGAGAGTCTGTCATCCGAGCGAGATCACGCGACTCATCGCGAAACCTCCTGGCCATAAGACTCGTCCCTCGTCCTCGTATCCCGTGGATCCATCCCTCAGACACAGTGTGTATTACATTTACGTTGCTTTGGCTCTCTGGGAATGCGTCGGTATCTCGTGGACCCCCCGAGGTTTGCTTGACTTGACCGAATAATAAAGGTAACAGTTTGCACCTATCCTTATTTTACTCGTTTATTTAAACGGAGCAACCAACCAACCAATCAACAATACCGTGTAAAGAATGAAACTATCTGTATCACAAAACAAAAGAAAAAAAAAAAAGAAACTCTCTTCTGGCCTGCGTGCGTGCGTGTATGTGAGCATAACACTTTATCTGCATGATTCTTCGTCTACGAAGTATGTAGTAAGAATTTCTGTATGCATCACCTTACGTGTTTTCTATTTGTACATATTTACTTACTTATTATAACTTAAGTGTTCTTTGATCACCCGAGTACGAGCACGCGCCACTTTGCTCACGACCAACAAAAAAAAAAAAATATTGATCTTCACCAAAACTATGCGCTGGCTCCTCCTTTGGGCTCGTTGAAAGGCAACCTTTTTTAATTACACTTATGCATGACTTTAATTCACTGTCTTTTCTATCTGTCACGCTCTTTTTTATCTTTCCTTCGTCGCGACGTAACCGCGGGGCTCTCGTCTACGGTAAAACCTATTCTCGTATGACTTCTCGAGGAATTCCAGAAGATCTTCGAAAACAACGAAATTGTACAAAAATGATTGATTTTCAATTTCAAGTGACACGCGCGCCCCGATGTTCCGCGCGCGACTCGGTAACGTAGGCTAGTAGTACGTATTATTATTAATTAAATTCGTATTCGTCGAACTAGTCGTTAGAAGCGGGTACTTATATATATCTATATATACATATATATATTATTATTCGCCTCTCCACGATATATCTTTCGGTCTTTTGCCGACATGCTCTCATTCCGTAACCTCACACGTCCCTATCCAAATTACGCCTTTACTTCCGAGAGTTCTACTTGTCACACGTACTCTCTGATACACAGGCACACGCACACACACATATATACACACTTACATATATATATCTATATATATATTATATTGTCGCACGCATCAATGCGTGGCCGGTATATGCCGTCTTGTAAAACGTTGGAACTTCCCACTCACAGTATCTCGCTTGTGCAGCGTTTTTCACCACCGTAAAATGTAGAACCCGCCAAACAGTACACCCGAATAAAAGACAAAGTCCGAAAAAGCTCTCGTCAGGTCGATGCGCGTCGTTAACGTAAACCGAGATCATCAGCCAGAACCGACTTGTCCGGCGTCCGCATTAGACGATTGCACAATTAGTGGCGATTTTTCGTTCTGTCTTTCTTTACCAGCGTAGGCTAGTTAATTACAAAGTCTCGATAGACGCTTGGTTATTGTGCACCACCTGATCTTGCGTTCTCTGTCTCGTTCTATATATATATATATATATATTTTTTATTTTCGATATTTTCTTCCTTTCGTTTTGATCGTTTTTGGATTTATTGTACGTTCATGGTGTTATTGAATCGAAACCGCTTTACTGGTGATCCCCCTACGTAGAAGCGAAAGTCCGGTCGTTTCTCGCGTGAAAAAAAAAAGAGCATCGAATGATAAGAGAGTAAAAAAGATTCGCGAAAGACGCAGCGCGCATCGACTGGTAATACCCGACTTCCATACTTGTACCTCGCCCACGAACCTTCATTCACTTTGTCTTAATGTCTCTCTCTTTATCTCTCTGTCACTTTCTCATAATACGTGAATTTGCCATCCACCATTCACGCAACGGAAACTTGAGATCGTCAAAATTGATTCGCGTAGTTCGGAAATTTTGTCTCCGCGTTGTAACGTCTGTTTCGAATTCGAATGGAAAACGAAGACGCTCGTCGACGAACGGCCGTTTCTGTTCTTTGTTTTCTTTTTATTTTTTTTTTTATTCTATGTACAGTGTTGCCTCGTTGTATATACCTGCCTCGGTGCTTACTATTTTCGATAAACGTCGCGGCGCACCGTCGACGAGCCTGTCTTTCTGTGACCGCGCTTTTCACGACTCTATCACGACGTACCTGTCTCTAAATCGCTAACGACCAGTGAAATTAAAAAAAAAAAGAAGTAACTTAGACGCGAGATCTACGATGGATCGATTTAAACCTGGACCTAACGATTTTCAGTGCCGCCGCGATGGATCGTGGAACCAGCGGACGTGAGCGTGGAGAGAAACAAACACGTCGCCATGCACTGTCAAGCGCAGGGCGTGCCGACTCCCACTATCGTTTGGAAGAAAGCAACGGGTAAGAAAGGTATTTAATATTCGAGGAACACAAGGACGAGACGTTTGCATATCGATTTGCGATCCACGGTCGTCACGAAAACGCGTCCAGAAAATGAAAACCGCTAGAAGTCGTAAACTTATTATATTTCAAAAATAAATACGGCTACTGTGACACTGAAATAGCCAAAAGATGCCCTCTGTATTTTCAGATCATTGGGTTGAATTTTTTTTTGTACGTGTTCTGTATAATAACTGATGATTTTTATATCTGCACAAATCCTTTAATTTAACAGCGTTATTTGTAACTTGGCTATGTATTTTTGCGTTTTCTTTTGGCCAAATATTATCGATAATAATTAGAAAAAAAAAAATTCAATGTTTGTAGGACAAAAATAAAAGACTCGATAATTATGAAATCTGGTCAACCAGGGACTCACGCGCAACAACAAACGGATTAGAGTCGAATTCCCACCCACGCGCCCGACTAAAATTGGTTTTTAATCTCTGGTCGCGTACGTTCGTCGCGCGAACCAAAGTGATTTAGTCGTCTCTGCGAAACAGGAAGCAAATCCGGTGAATACGAGGAGTTGCGCGAAAGAGCGTACACGAAAATTCTCGGTAACGGTACGCTGGTGTTGCAACACGTGAAAGAAGACAGAGAAGGATTTTACCTTTGCCAAGCCAGCAACGGCATTGGGAGCGGTATCGGGAAAGTGGTGCAGCTGAAGGTGAATTGTGAGTATCAAATTATTTCTCTGTCTACTTAAGGTGGTGTGAATTCTAAAAATTAAAATATTTTCATACGACTACGAAGTGGACGTTTTTAAATAAATTACAGCACACGATTTTCCTTCGCCTTTCAATTTGATACTCGTTACGAATCGACGATATCGTATTGCAGACTCCTACAACACCCTTAAAAGTTGAACGGCTACGAAATAATACAGCTTTCGAGAACGAAACTGTTTTCCATTTCGACGGAAAATTCTGTCTGGAAATATAGCGTTCGAACGACTCTCGATCGTGGGAATTTTAATTTCTTTCGTTATTTCAACAGCATCCCCATATTTTGCGGCTCCTTCGAGGCTCGTTACTGTGAAAAAGGGTGACACCGCGACGTTGCATTGCGAGGTACACGGCGACACGCCTGTCACCGTCACTTGGCTGAAGGGCGGAAAAATCGAGTTAAACCCCTCGACGAACTATCGGTAAAGCTAATAAGCGTAAAATTATCGAACGAGACTTTGGTAATAGTAAGAATCTAATCGGCTGAACTATATAATGAAAGTGCATATCAAAGGCTCGTACGTTTCTAAAACAATGAAACGTAGATGAGTATAGTGAAAAATGATGGGTTAATATTTCGAGAACTCAAGTAGAACTTAGCAAATATTAGGTTGTGCGATAAGCTCACGTTTCTTTATGAGAATATTAAATACTGCCAAGTTTACGTAGAAGTTTGCGTCATGGAAGTCATTATTTTCATTATTTAAAGATCTAGATACGTATATATTTAAAACTAAGCTGCAATAATTGTTGTTATCGCGGTGGAAAACAACTTTTCTCATAAATATGTATCAGCAATGGTCTCGGTTATGAAATAAAAATTTACAACAACTTGTTACACAACCTAATACACATTTTGCTAATCATTTTATATTCGAAGAAAATAAGTTTGACACGTTGACTGTCCATCGACTCGTAAATACGCTGAATACTAAAAGAAACATATGTGCAAAGTAAAATATACTTATATCGCGAAAACAATGGTACTTACCAAAAATTGTAGAATATTTCCAAGCTACGGGAATCTCATTCTCCGGATATTCGAGCCGCGTTCACGATTCCCTGCGCAAACAATCAACGTGTTAATCGTGCTCTACGCTCCGTATAAACCAAAATTAACTCGTCGTGGTCACGTGTACGAATTTTTTTACGAACATGTTAATTCGTACAAAGAGTTACAGTGAAACGGGAGGTCACGCCAGACGGTGTAATAGCGCAGTTACAAATTTCTTCCGCGGAGGCGTCCGACAGCGGAGCATATTTTTGCCAGGCGAGCAACCTTTACGGTCGCGACCAGCAGCTGGTGCAACTCCTCGTGCAAGGTAGAATAACCAACAATATAATGGCGTAGAAAAACGAGCAAGATACGGTCGTTAAGAACGAGGAAATTTTGTTCGGTCGCAGAGCCGCCGCAGCCACCGAATTCGTTAGAAACCGCGATGGTTGCCAGCCGAAGTATCAACGTGAAATGGCAGCACAAATCTCAAGACACCAGCGAAGTGACGAAATACATCCTGCAATACAAAGAAGGCGACGGTTAGTGTTATTACAATTCACTAAACCTACGTTCTCGAAATTAATCCAGGGTCGCTATCGACCCAGAATAATACTATAATAATTAGGTCGAAAGTTGCAATCATCGTTGTTGTCTCCTAGGCAAGGCAACGTTTTTAACACTAGAACTATCGAGAATTACAGTTTATAGAATAGATGTATAATGCAATGGCTAAAATATTTATTCGTTCTCTTATAGAAAACCACGATTTTGTAACAATTTTTATTGGAAATTATGAATGGGTCATTTCGACCAGTTCGGTAGATCTAGCGTTAAACCAGTTTGCTTCGAATAAACGTGGATCGTACGATAACGATCCAAAGAGTGTAAGTTCGACTTTGGGCCAGTTTCATGATAACCGATTCGATCGTGTCGCGACAGGTGGAATGTGGCAACAGCAAGAATTCACCGGACCACCCCTCCCGTACGCTGCCCTTATAGACGAATTGAAACCAGCTACTAGATACACGATACGTGTAATTGCCGAAGGGCCAGCTGGTAGATCAGTACCGTCCGCGGAACTGGTTGTCAGAACCGAACCACAAAGACCGGCTGGACCTCCGATTAATCTTGCAGCCAGAGCTCTGTCCTCCTCTGAAGTCTTAATCACTTGGTCGCCGCCGTTGCTTGAACTACGACACGGTGACATTCAGGGATTCAACGTTGGCTACAGAGAAACGAGGTAAGCTCGTCGAACTTGGACGGCGAATCTTACGAAATCACGCTTCGAGCAAACTCTACCGAAGTTCGCGAAATAAACGATCGCTATACGAACCGATCGTTTCGAAACTTGTAATATTTTTATACAGTGTGTTCGGACACCCTTGGGAAAAATTTTAATGGGAGGAATTTGGGAATTTCTCGATTGAGGCTTCGTTAAAAAATGATTAAAAAATTAAATTAAAGTTTTCAAATCATTCACGGAAAAATTATTTTCGGTTTAGGGGGCCAATTGCAATCATTTTTGGTGAATAAACATCCTCGAAATCCTACCCACTTTTGAGAAAAAAATTCGAGTAGGAATTGAAATTTTTAGACGAAATTAAAATATTTAAAATCACACTAACAAAATTATATTTAGTTACAGGGGTCAATTACAATCATTTTTGGTCATTACACATACCCCCGAAATCCTACGCACTTTCGAGAAAAAAATTCTTTACCGAAAATCTAATTAGGTGCCTTTTTTCGACGAAAAAGAAAAATGTCAAATCGTTCTGGAAAAATTATTTTCGGTTTCGGGGGTCAATTGCAATCATTTTTGGTGAATAAACATATCCTCGAAATTCTACGCACTTTCGAGGAAAAAAATAATTATGTACAAAATTCGTATGTTCGTCGATACGTGTCCGCCATTGTGGTTTCAAATGTACTCAACGGTTCGAATTTCGGGTCTCGTTACGTTGGGAATCTTCTTCCAGCTCCACGAATCCCTCGTACAACTTCAGTTCCGTATCCAGCGACGGCGACGAGGGTGGCGCAGAACTTCGATTGACAGGCCTACGACCCTACACAAAGTACACCCTGGTGGTTCAGGCGTACAATCAAGTCGGTTCTGGACCTCTATCCGAACCGTTGCTCACGCAGACGTTGGAAGACGGTGAGGAACGTTCTTTTATTCGCTGTAAAATCAATTTTACGAGAACGATTATGCCAAAAAAAAAAAAAAATAAAATATTTCGTTAGTTCCCAGTGTGCCACCGGAAGACGTAAGATGCGCCGCGCTAACTTCGCAGTCCCTTCAAGTATCGTGGCAGCCACCCCCAAACACGCACAGTAACGGTATCATTCAAGGATACAAATTACATTACGAACCGATTTTGGCGGATATTTGGCGCAGCGTGGACGAAATGGAAGTAAGCATAGAACCGTTCGCGTTTTGCTCCGATGGCGAGGCGTAAACTAAATTTCGTCGACCTTAATGTTTCACCAGGTACGTAAGACCAGCGCTTTAACCACCGTGCTCACAGGGTTGAGAAAGTACACGAACTACACTATTCAAGTGCTAGCATTCACCAGAATCGGGGACGGAGTACCCACTACAGTAACTTACTGCCAAACCGAAGAAGATGGTAAAATTACTCGATTACAGGATATCCACGCTATTACTAACCAGCGATTTGTTCGAAAACTGTTATGATTAAAAAAAAAAATGAGAGAGGAAAAAGTTTTTTAGTATTTTATGATCGATAGATGACTTTCGATTTTTTAAATAGAATGTCATATATTGTTTTATGTCACATGAAAATCGGGAATAAAAGAAAGGTTTTGAATATTTCATAACATTGTATTTATTAGAACTCTGTATTGTTAGGATTATAAAAGATGTTCAATATGATTTCTCGCAAAAAATCGCTGGCTAATAGCGTGAGCTATACAAAATGAGAACACCGGTGAATCGTACGATTGAAATTATTCTGTACAGTGCCGGGGAGTCCAGCGGACATAAAAGTGGTGATCAGTTCACCGCAGGCGCTCTTCATCTCTTGGCTACCTCCCCTCGAACCGAACGGAGTCATTACGAAATATAATCTATACACAAGGTATCGACGTCCAGTATAAATCGTTTATGGCGCGTCCACAAATCGATCTTTATGAAAATCTGTTTTCCCGCAGAGTCGTGGACGGCAGGGAGGAACTGAATCACGGTAAAAGAACACTGCCAGCATCGAGCACATACTTCGAGGCGACTGATTTACAGCAACACGTAGAGTATCAATTTTGGGTGACCGGTAGCACCCGCGTAGGCGAAGGTCAAAGTTCCAGGGTAGCCGCGCAGATACCCACGAATCGCGTACCGGCGAGAATCACGTCTTTCGGGGGCCACGTGGTGAGACCGTGGCGAGGATCCGCCACCCTGGCTTGCAACGCGGTCGGCGATCCGACCAGAGCCTGGTACAAAGGGTCCACCGAGCAAATTCGTACAGACACCACCAGGAACGTGCAGATCCTGCCGTCCGGAGAGCTCGTCCTCTCGAATCTTCAGTCACAAGACGGCGGAAATTACACATGTCAAGTGGAGAACTCTCAGGGCAGCGACAAGTTGCATTATACGTTGACTGTACAGGGTAATATACATATTATTGCAGTGTCAGATTCTTCTGATTTAAAACTCTTCTTAACATTTGACTATTAAAATTCTTTCCTCGTTATTAAAAATTCCGAAAATATTTAAAACTATTTTGCTTGCAGTACCGCCCAGCGCGCCCGTTCTTTACGTAACAAGTTCCACGTCTAGCAGCATATTGTTACATTGGAAACCCGGGCACAGCGGAGGCGCTCCACTCACAGGTTACACCTTACACTACCGAACGACCCACGGCAACCTGGACGAATTGCAACTGTCTCGTCACGCCACGAGTCACGAACTCAAGGTACAAGTAATTTAGTCGTGAAATCGGACCGCTTCAAAATTACATACAGTCGAGGACAAAATTAAATGGACAGGTATATAATATGTAAAACTGAAGTACATGAAAGTTATACTACTTTGATTGAATTTAATTTATACTTATTTCCTTTATCTGTCCGCGACTGTGTGTTTAATGCCAAGACAGTGACCTTTACCTTCCACAAAATAATTTTATAACTAGCTTTGGAGTACCAAACATTTTGCAATTAAGATGCCCGAAAATATAACGTTTGCTCAACGTTTAGGGTCTCCTGTGCGGAAATACCTATCAGCTGTACCTGACGTCTCACAACAAAATCGGGAGCAGCCCGTCTTCGCCGGTACTTCCGGTCCGAACTCAAGGCCAGGCGCCAGGATTACCACCCGCCGCAGCATTCCTGAGCCCAAACTCGACGACGTTGGTTCTCCGGCTGCACGTGTGGCCCGACAACGGCTGCCCGATCCTCTACTTCGTGATCCAGTACAGGCCCATCAACGAGTTCCACTGGACGCTGGTGTCCAACAGCGTGAAAATGCAAAGACGGTTCGTCGTGACGAATCTACAGCCTAGCTCTGTTTACCAGTTGAAGGTAGAGGCGCACAACGTGGCTGGGACCAACCAAGCGGAGTTCACGTTCGTCACGTTGACGAAGGAAGGCGGTAAGCTTGGATATATATGCACAGATTTTACAAGGTGTCGCGGAAACAGGAACAACCGTAGACCTAAGGGTCCCACTGGGCGATCGTTTTCAAAGTGAAACGGTTCAATCCAAAAGCACTGTGTTCCTGAAACTTTGCAGAACCGCCACCTGCAGAACTATCGAAACGCGGAATCGCGTCGGCCGTGCCGTTTTACGCGGACGTCAAGGTGATGCTGCCTCTGATCGTCGCCACCGTCGCGTTGATCGTCGCCGTGGTGATCGTAGCTTTTCGTTGGAGAAATAGTAAGTTCCATCTTCTTTTCTTATCGAGTTCTTCTTCGATTTCTAAACGAATCTTCGTACATTCTCAAACACTCCTGCTTCTCGCTTTTCGATTTTATAATGTCGTGTTCGTCGAGCATCGAATTGCCAATTGATGATCTTTCGTCCGTGACGCGTTAGGATACCTCGGAGACAGGGTTCAACGGCCCATGAAAGAGACCCAGGAGAACCAACAGAACGCAGAGACCCAAAGGGAGCGTTACTACGCCACCATTCACAAGGTGGCCTTGCAACAGGCGGCAAATACAGGCGGAGGGCCTGACAAGATTCCAGGTGAACCTTTGTTACGATACGGACGGCAGCCAGGTTTGGTACTATAATTGTTGTTCAGGTAAAAGTCGCACGCGTAGCGCTGTTCCAGCGGGGTCTGGACAGACCCGTTTAGCGATCAATTGCAGTTCACCAGCGAAGATGATTTATTTTGTCGCATCTTCATTCCGTAAAAGTAACCCTAGATACTCTCGGGACATCGTATATTTCCTTTGCGCCTTTTACGCGATCACTGTGTATCATCGTCGAATGTGCCGATCATAAAAGTCACGCGTTTTGTTGAGCGTTTCTTCATGCATCGCTTTGTATCTCCATTGGCTGTCTTCTCTCATTCTTTTAGACATAGTATGATACCCTCACAGCATCGTGCCAATATTTCGACGAATTAAAGATGAAATGAAAAAATTCTAGAGGCTCGACTCTATTTCCGAAGCATGTAGCGATGGATCGTTTCGTTCGAAGGGAGTATCATCGACGAGAAGCTTCTCTCGTTGATAGGCTTCCATGACTATCAACTCTGTTCGAGTTGAGAGTAGACAATAGTATGAGAAAGAAAGATCTGCCTCGAACGCACGTTGTAGACTGTTGAAGGAGCGCTCTTTCAGTTGCGATTGTTCCTTCGAGCGAAAAGACTCCACGTGACGCGAACAGCGATTATACAGGGTGGTCCACGCAATTGTTTCAAGTCATAACTCCGTTATTATTGCAAGATATTTTTTGAAAATATCTCAAGATCAAATAATTTTTTTGCCATGGTACCCTAATCATTTTTTGCGTAGAATGAACAGAAGAATCGATCTGTCTAAAAAAAAATATGCATTTCTATTTAAAGAAATGATGCAATTGTTAATTGCACATGCACTGCTGCATCTAAAAAAAATTTAAAGGCCTACGGATGTAGTGCTCTTCGAACCACTTATCTTTCTCCTTTGGCATTTTTGCGTAAATGCAATAATAACGGAGTCATGACTTAAAACAATTGCATGGACCACCCTGTATACGTTGTTTGCAAGCGCGGGCTGACGAAGTAAATTCCGATTTAGTGCTCGAATTCCGTTCATACCTAACCAAGTAATACCGACGCGATTTGAAAGGTAGGCAATGCCGCTGGTGGGTTACAGAGACAGCGGAGGACATCTCGCCGTACGCTACGTTCCAGCTTTCGGAGGGTGGCGGGGGAAGCCTGGCAGGGTTGGGAGGACTGGGAGGACTGGGAGGCGCGGCGGAAGCCTCAGCGGCCGGTCTCCACCCGAACAACACTCTTCTTCACAGCTTCATGTATCACGAGCACGCCATGACCGAAGGGTGTGCGAGCCCTCCACCTGCCGCGGCGGTACGTCATCACGCAAAGGTTGAACATGCTACGAAGTGCGCCAATTAAAGACCAATTGTCCGCAACGTCCATTGGCTACTATTAAACGTGACCTTTTATAGAAACCGAAGCTCGTTTTCACTTTCTCGATAGATTCGCGCAACAATCAGCACGATTTGGCGTTGCTTTATCAATAGCAATACCAAATGGATTTCTGTGACATGACCTCTAAACTTAAAAAAATATATAAATATCTGTAATTAAAATTTTATCCGTATATTTTCTAAATTTAGTTTGCGTTATCGTAAATGAAATTTGAATTGAGCTATGGTGTGCTAAGTGCTATCGAGTGCAAAAATATAATATTATTATAATAATATTGGAGGAATATCCGTTCGCAATAACATTTTGTTTCCGTCTCCTTTGTGTACAGAAAAGGGTATCTCTCAAATATTATTGGTATCGACATGATACTGATTAATTTCAAGCCCTCCCTCGTTAGGGCTTCGATATTTCTTGATCGAAAACGTTTAAAAAGTGCGTATGTCGATAGAGTATGAAAAGCGTTTCGTCGAGGAGACGGCAACAGAGAAAGCAACAAACTCCGGGCGACGTCGAGAGCGACGAGAGCGAGTCTGACCCGGATCAACTAACGAGCTCTCGCACGGAGTCTTCCAATCAGCTGGATCCAGGCAAACTCAAACACAGTACGTTTATTCGTTTACAATAATAATCATCGACGTAATACATGGAACGTTCGTTTCAGTTCGGGCCGTTTCCGACTTCATTTATCACGGTACGTCGAGCACTTCATCGGACATCTCACCCATGTCGGAACAGAAGTCGCTTCCTCGAAGAGGACGATCTAGGTGATTAACGAATTTCATTTTTGTAAATACACAGAGACGGTAAAAAGACACTCCAAGGAAAGGGGACCAAGATTACGAAATCTCGATGCACCACATAGTGGGCCAAAATTGAATTTTATTTTTATTTTAGCAGGGTTTTGCTATTCGAGTCGATTAACCCTTAAGGGGCCATTCTACCTTGTAGCCACGAAAAATACATGTTTCTTTGTGATTTTTATTTGCGGGCTATTAAAGAGCGATTAATTCCGTGTTTTGTAGATACATTTATTATATATTTAGCTATATTTACGAATTTTTGCAACACATAATATCTATTGATTACGCTGTTTTTGTTGATCGACAAACAACAGTTTTTACGAACGGCGCCCGACTGCGTATGTGATATCTTGCGAACAAGTTATCCGAAATCCAAAAACCAACTATATTCTTAATGTAGATGAGTGTGGTTATAGCATGAACTAGGATCTTTTCAAAAAAACAAATTAATGGCAAAATAGCAGCTATTTTACGAAAAAATACTGAATGTTTTCATATATTCGGTTGCTTTTTTGTTAATGAAAGGAAAAGTATTGCATATATCGCAATTATCCTAGTTCATTCTATAAGAAGACCAGGTCTAAAGATACTGTATAAATTTCATGTTGATATCTTGAATAGTTTTTTCGTTATCACATACGGAGTGCCGAAAAATGTAGTTTCGAGAAAAACAGCTTTAAAGTTTCACGTCCAGTTGTTATACCTGCGCGCGGTACATTTCAGCAGGCTATAACTTCGTTAGTTTTTCAAATTTCAATTTAATATTTGGTAGATATATTTTCGAGACTACATACTAAAAGAAAATGCAAAAAAAATATTCAATCTTTATAATCCCACAAAATAGAAGGGCAACTTAAAATTTTACGTCCAGTCATACCTGCGTGTGGTACATTACAGCAGGCTATAACTTCGTTAGTTTTTCAAATTTCAATTTAATATTTGACAGATATATTTTCGAGACTACATACTAAATGAAAACGCAAAAGAAAATTCGATTTTTTAAATCCCACAAGGTAGAAAGGCCCCTTAAGTGGATTATCGGGGCCCTCCACAAGTTTAAAGAAATATTGTATAATATATGTCGAGGTTATTTGAAAATTGATCTAATCCTCTGTCAGTTAATTATTTTTTAAATGCTTTAAGGGAACGTTGATTTCCATTTACCAAAATCAACATTAAGTAAAATAATTCAGTTGAGATCGAGAGTCCGCCAAAGGGTTAAGAAACGAGATCGATCGATGTAGAAAGTAACCAGCGAACGTCTGGCGCTCTGTTCGTAAGCGCGTATGGTACTTTGGCGGAGTAGTAAAGTTTATTTTCTTTTGGCCGTCACGCAAGATGGCATGTTCCCAGCAGAAGCTCGTTACGCACACTGTTACCGCCGATATCGGTTGCGGAGACCACGTTCATCGGTGGGAATCAGGGGAACGTCGTGGCGGGGAACGGCGATCGCGCCGATCGACCGGAGCTCAGCGAAGCCGAGTGCGACATCGACTCCTTGAAGAAGCTGAAACTCGGCCTGAGGAGCTCCCTGTGGTCAAGGCCGAGCACCCAAAATAATCCTTCCTCCGACTACTCTATCGCCGTTTAATTCCACCTTTCACCACCCCCCTCCCCCCCTTTCTCTTTCTGTGAGCCACCTACACTCCACGCGCGCGTCCACGACGGGCAAATCTCTCCCCTTTCTCGTTCCCGCCCGTGGTCCAAAACACTTAGGTAAATAAATCCTTCTGTCTGGTGTCTCGTCGGAAATTTCGACGCGGTTAGGTTAAAAAAGAAAACAACAAAAAAAAAAAATAATAAAAAGAGTTAATAACGAAGAAGGAAAAACGGGACGCGCGCCCGTTTTCCCAGTTTCTCTCTGTCGATTATAGGTGAAAATTAAAATTAGATTCGTTGCTGGAAATCGGCAGGCGAATCGTTCGCGTATAACGAGGAGAGAGTTCAAGACTGTACACAATTCCTTTGGCGCGTTCACTGCCAGAAACTATATTGTATTTATATACTATACTACATTCGGTACACCGACGATTTGTCGCGGACCATATGTTCTCCAGTCTCGTTAGAATTCAAGAGTCCTATGTAAATTTAGTATCTTTAACGTCTGATTTCGGAGCTAATTATTTTCAATGCGTTGAGTCGAACGTTGACAGTGTCGAGGAATGTTTGTTTAGTCGTGGATCTTACAGTGACGCTAAAGTAACGATTTGGTCTACTGGATCTGATACACTGAAACGGTCGTGTCAACGACAATTGAACCAATCGTTAGTCGCGATGGCTGATCCGCGATCGAAAGCCGATCCTTCTTTATCCGATCTGTACAGACTTTCTCCTCTTTATCCGCGACGCAACGAGATATTACATCCATGCGTGCGTGGACATGACCGAGTGAATGGTCCGAGGTTGAATGAGTTTGATCGCGTGTAGGAGTGCGTGCCAAACGACAATTTGCTCAGACCGCTGCGACTCGTTTGCCGGCGGGCGACCCATTCGAGACCAAAGACTTAAAATCGTACGAACAGAGCACGGGGAAGGTCCATCGAGCACCGGGGTACCGCGGAGAACGACGCCGTGGCGGATTTCACGGGGCTGTCGCGTTCCAACTGAAACGGACGTTACAAATTTCCCGCGAGCGTCGACCGAAATTCGCAAATCGCCGAGTTACATTCACGATTCGATACGATTCATAAATCACCGTTGCAACGGAACGAATAAATAAGCGTCAGCTTTATTTCACAATGTTAATTCGTTTTTATTTACGATGAATGAAACTGCGATGGTAGCGGGGAACAAAAATAAAAAGCGCCACGATGATCTTGACTAACTAATTATTTGATTATCGTCTCAGTATTATACAGGGTATTCGACCAACTCTGGGAAAAATTTTAATGAAAGATTCTATAGGCCAAAATAAGAAGAAAATCAAGAATACCAATTTGTTGATGGACGCTTCGTTAAGAAATTATTAACGTTTAAAGTTCCGCCCGTACTGAATTTTTTTTCTCGAAAATGCGCATGATTTCAGGGGTATGTCTATTCACCAAAAATGATTGAAGTCGACCCCTGCAACCGAAAATAATTTTTCCAAAACGATTTGAAATTTTTTTTTCGCCGAAAAATTTGTTCAACTTCCTGAATTTTTTTTCGAAAGTGCGTAGGATTTCGGGGGTATGTGTATTCACCAAAAATGATTTTATTTGAGCCCAGAACCTAGAAATAATTTTTTTAGAACGATTCGAAACTTTTTTTCGCCCAGAAATTAAGGCAACGTCGATTTTTCTTAAGAATTCGTTTTTCATTTTTGATAAATTTCTTTTACGCTGTACGGAAATTTTCTCTAATACTTTTTTGTGAGTATCCATGAGCTCTACTTCAGAAAAAAATTTCATTGAAATATATTCACTATTCTAGGAGTTATGGTCGTTTGAAAATGGGACCAATTTTTTGGGGTCAAGGAACAACTTTTCGAATATTCTTGGAATATCTACATATTTTACACTGAAATAGGCGTTGTTTGCCGTTCGAAACATTAAAATCGTCCAATGCGTTCAGGAGTTATGAGATTTTAAAGATTCGCAGAAGCATATTAAATTTTTTTCTCGAAAGTGGATACGATTCCGGGAGTATGTGTATTCACCAGAAATGATTATAATCGATCTCGGTAACCAAAAATAATTTTTTCAGAACGATTTGTAATTTTTTAATAACTTTTTAACAAAGCCTCAGTCAAGAAATTGATATTCTTGATTTTCGTCTTATTTTAGCCTCTAGAATCTCCCATTAAAATTTTTCCCGGGGGGGTGGCCGAACACCCTGTATAAACTTGAGTCTCTTAATTGTGTTGTCGTTGCAACGAATGCAGTCTTTGCTCGTTGGCGAATCAAAGTACTTCGAGCATCGATCACGGACGAAACAATGGAACTCGGTCGGAGAAATGTATCATTGCGTAACTAATTGCAGCTTAACCCTGCTAGATACAGACTGGCAAATTTATTTCAGTCTCGCTGGCCTACACAATTCGTTCATCGATTCTAGACAAGTCGTTATTTTTTGCAACGCCGTTCCCCGCGTCAGCGACTCGACGTAACGCCAAAGCGACCGTTCTTGAGCAACGTTTTATTGTGCAAGAGTCAACAATGCTTTATCGTTTCAATCCTCGACTTCTAAACTAACATGGATCGAATAGATACTCGAGTATTTTTGCCTTTTGAAACGCGATAAACTGAACTTCCGATTCCGATAACCCATTACATACACATTCACTATTTTTCCAAATCTGATGTTTAAAAATGATATATTTGGTTGGTATCGAGACACTCGTACGGCATACAGTGTAATAAAACAAATAACAACGTTGTGCGGTTCAGCAAACTTAAAGTACATTCCAGACCAGAATCGCTATATATAATATTACTTTTTGTGCACAGTATGTTATACGAATTGTCCAAAAAATTACAATACGCTTCGTTCGAGACTCGACTGCACGCCTCAAAAATCACACGATGCTCTCGCGAATTTCAACAACGACGAAAAATGATTTTTCATATGGTCTCTGGAACTTGATGGGTGAAACCGAGGCACCGATAATTTATTACAAACTCGTTCGACGCTCGCGGGGAAAATAAGAGCCGTCCCTTTCGATTCTCAAAGACTGATTTTCTTACTCTCCGTTTGATCACGTCTTCATGGTAAATAATTTCGCCGATCGAAACGCCCGGCGTCGTTTTGCCGCGCGCAAAAACCGTGCTCGTCTGTGTCCAGTGCGTGGGTGGTATTAGAATCGGGATGAGAGTACGAGACCGTGAGCCGAGTTGGCCGTATACACAGCTATTTAGGGTAGTCGTGGAATTATTAAAACACGATTATCGGGTACGCGACGATCGTCGCGAGGGTTGAGCTCTGTTGCATTGTAAAGTTTATATGTACGTCTAACACCGTTGATTACTTTAAGTCCGTTATTAATCCTAAGACGTCTCCGACGAGAGAAGGACCCTCCTCGATTTTCGTTTCGTTTTACAGAATGATAGAACAAGACCTCTGTTTGTTACGCGTAAAATATTCGGTGCAACGACTCGATGAATTTGGAGACGTAATAAATTCGAGTGACACATTAGAGAACGAACTATGTATTTTGTAAACATAGAAACCTAACAAATTAGGAACTTTTCTATACTACTACCACCAATATGCTTCTCGTTCATAGATTATACATTTTTTTTTTTATTATCATTACTATGAATGGGACAACCATCAGTTACATTGTTACTTTATTTTATTATATTCGTGAGTTATTAATCGTTAACTAGTCTTAACCCTTAACGCTCCGACTTTTAATTGCGAATATCGACCGGCAACTCCAACTTATTTTCATCATATTTCTACTTGCAAGTTTTTAACTGTCAAATTTTAAATGTTACGACGACGTGTAAATAATAATTTTAAAGTCATTCAAAACAGTCTTTATTCTTCTCAGAAGTAATATAATTTTGATTACAATGTTTATATTGATTATAATTGAGTAATGTGTGGAATTTTTTAAAGCATTCATTGGGATGCAAACTGGGTTTGCATTCACAGGTCTCACAGTAGAAAACTGTTTGTTTTTTTTTACCGCATTACTTCCTTTTGGTGAACAAACAAGACATTTATTTTTTATTTGTAAACAATTACCGATAACGACCCAAAAATACATTTGGAGTAGAGTGCTGCGTACCGGTGATGCCTGAGTGGCACACTTGGAGCGTTAAGGGTTAATTGATGACGTTTGATCTGTGGCGTCGCTTCCCATGCTCGCCACCAGAGGGGTCGCGCTCTCACAAGCGATCGACCAACCCCTCGGTTGCTATATATATACATTCCTCGAACGACTTCCCAATATCCCAGTCGTCTAAGACAGGGCCTGCTAGAAAGCCTTGTTGACGAGTCCACTAGCAGGCCCAGACGAAACGCGCCCCCTCTCTGTAAAATTACATTCAGTTTGGTCCATTTAACACATTCACTGCCAGATCAAAACCGTATAATATTCTGCAAAAGTACAATTTTGATTTTAAACCATTGTAAACCACATAACCTAAAATTTGTTTCAGTACTTATTTTTGTAACTTTGTTAAGATTCACAAATTCTATTCAAATTTATTTCCCTCGACGTCTTAACTTGAGAATCAATTTTTTTAGTATCGTAGTGGTAAATTCTGTTACCCATATGTGGATGACGTGGCAGTCAAAGTGTTAAAGGCATTGGTGGTGCTTTAATTTCTTATATCTCGAAAATTATCGAATCGTTACGCCTTATATTTTACAGAACGCGACAGAGACACGTGGTTTATCGTTGCGTAGAAGCGGATTAAAATCGGAGGTGTCCTTCCGTCGCGAGAAATTATTTCCGCGCGGAGCAGCGCGATAAACAATCGGCCGTCGCGCGCTCCCTCTCCCGCTCTGTACATTTCTTCCGTGCCGACGAAACGCTAGTCTAACGTCGAAGGCGTCTCTTTCGACGCCGGGTTTTACCGTTTAAACCGGGCATCCCTCTTCGAATGTCGCGCACTTTTTAACTTAAGGCCCGCGAACTATTTCTAAATCCAATAACTCGCATCTTCGACTTCGACGCTGCCCGCCGCGCTCAGAGCGATCGTATCAAAACGCATTTCCGCGGCGCGCGTCGATCAACGTTCCGTAATTGTTTCCGATCGAATCGTTGAACCCGTATTTAGCAAATTAAGGCTGCAATCGTCGAAGTGGATCGCCAAAACCAGACCGTCTCGACTGCCCTCAAAATTATACGCGAACGGGTTGTAGCAGAATTTAAATGGCTCCAAAATTGCTACAAAATTATACAAGTTTAATAATTTGTTTAGCGGCGGATGACGTTGAGAAATATATTTTTTCAATTTATTATTATCATTCGTGAAAATCGTGGATGAACGAGATCCAAGTGAAATTAGCAGTAGAGGGATCCCTGTTTCTATACTTAAATTAAAGAATAAATCAGAATCAGTGTCTTCCCTTGCATGAATTCCTAAAAATACTAATTAATCGAGATAGTAAAGAGGATGCATTAGACCTGAAAATAAATAACATAATAGAGAAATAGGGATCGATGTACCCTCGATAATAAAGATCGACGACCAGAGACAAAAAGACTAACAAGAAGATTTTATAATTCCAAAACAAGCTGATCTCGAGAGACCGTTTAAATTCTGTTCTGCTTCTCTTCTGCCTATATCTTGATAACCGAGGGTTCCGTTTCTGGTGGTACATCCCATACACTTTCGAATCGATTTCCGTCTCGCGAGAGCACCGTCGATCGCGTCGGGCCAAAAAATCGAAAGGAACGAGACGGACAATCCGCGCGACCCGCAACGAATTCGAACGTTCCCTCAGACTGACATGAAAGTAAAAATAAACGCCGTTTAGCCTCTAAGCGAACATCTCTGCGTATCGTGTTCCCCTAACGAAGAGTTCCCTCTACTTCCACGTCACTGCCACATCAGCAGACTACTCGAAAGTGCCAAATCCACGGCCGAACTTCCTATTTCCGGGTAACAATAATCTTAACGCGATTTCTATCGATCTTAGGATTAAAACGAAATAGGGGGAAGAAGAGTAAACCGTACGTTTTTTCGATGTATTTTACGCAGATCCGACGAAGCAAAATTCGAGAACTGTATCGACGACCTTTATTTCACGTTGTTTTTAGTGACTAAGTTCCGGAAGTGTGCGCGACACTGCGAAGACGATTGCATGAGTATACGTATATATAAATTTATATAAATATATATATATATGTACTTAAAGCGCATACATGCGATACATACACGAGTGTATATACGAGAAGCATGTCAATCAAACTCGTAGAGTTCGATTAATTCGTTAGATCCTGTGCGGGAAGCGGGTATCGTTTATCGGACGACATTTTTGTACATTTTTTCTTATGTCACCGGCCGACTGACGTCCGCTGAACAAGGACTGCGTACATTTAACCGGGTTCTTTCGATGTCCGATTGTTTTCCGATTACGAGGAATCCCTGGCTCCCTGAGCCGGAGAAATCAACACGAACGTCGATGTTGTACGATTCGAGGCGACGAACGCTCGCGTCGATTCGATTTTTCGTACATGATTCGCGGGGATTCTCTGTTAACGATTCGAATATATGACTTTTGAATGTTATCGATATTACACTAGTATCATAGATTTGAACGTTTTAACCCCTTCGAACGAACGAGGAAACTACGAGATAAGTCAGCTGATTGTTCGATGTAGCTTAACGTCTTCGTCGATCGTGGTGTTTCGATTTTGTTCGATCGGTGCGATAGTTCGCGTTGAAAATACCTTTTGACGATTGCCAGACGATGCTTGTCGCAGCTTTTAGAAGCGGGTCTCGGTCGAGTTGGTTACAGTTTTACCTTGATGCAGTTGAGAGTTCAAAGGTGACCAACTTCTTCGTCGAGAGCAACCACGGTCCCCGTCAACCGATCCTCGCGCCATCTGGTTCCAGACTGACCCAGCGAGCCTTGGTCGCGTAACAGACAAGCAGTCCCAAAAACGATTAGTTTTCGAAATACTAGGGGTAAAATGTTGAAAATATGGTCTTTACTTATCGAATAGACGCAGTCACCTACGAACAGAGTGGTAAAATCTAGACAAACGCACACTATCCGTAGACAACCGCGTCTATTCGTGCAACATTTTATTTAAAGCTAACGAAGTTCGTTCTTAAATTCTTTTTAACGCTTTCACCTACGAATACATTCGTTTTCATAACATTCCTTGTATAAACAAATCGTTCTACAACAGCATCCAGATCACAGATTCCAAATAACATCAAGAACAATTTTCTTCGTGTGTATTCAATGTTGAACATAATCGTAGTAGTCGCGTCGTAAGAATCGCTCTGTACGCGTCTAAGTGTTTCTAAAATACTATCATAAAGTTTACAGAGGCGTTATGCGTTTCGAATCTAAGGCATGGCTACGCGAGCTTATTGTTTCTAAGATATGGTCGATTTAAGTTGCGGCATAGCTTAATGATTAATCATTAAACGTGTTCATAATGACCGTTGTTGCTAAGCAGACGTTCGTACCTCGCATCAGTCTTATATGTACTGTTTGAAAATACTCCATGTATTTCTAATTGCGTTGCACGCGGACTGAATACTTACAATACACTGTGGATTTCAACCGACTTCGAAACAAAAATCTAGACTATTGATACAGACTTTGCTCTTCGAGTGAAACCTTTTACAAATCGTGTTCGCCTTTTTGAGAATCAAATTGTCCGACAAATTTGTTTTTTTAAAATGTTGCAGTAAAATTACATGAGATTAAGATAAAATATCAATTCATTGTCTTTCGAGCGAATTACGAATAAATGGTGAATTTGATCTGTAAAAGCGTTAATTTGGAGACAGTATATTCTATACAAATATTTTCCTATGCAAATGTCTATGCACACTGAAACAAAAATCGACAATATCTTTGGAACGAGTAGTTTGTACTTGTTTCTTAGATTCGAGGTGCAGAATACGCTTCCGAATTTTCGTGACTCGTAATTTAAAGAAATGTCCAGCATAAACAGATATCGAAGGCCGTATACATGTATACGTGTATAAATGTTGTGGTTATCTATATTATCTCTAGATTTCTGAAAAATACTGATTCAACGTAACGTTTCCAGCAACTCGAGCGTTCGTCGACTTTCTCGTTCACTTTCGTTTCGCGATTATACCGTTGACGTTGCTCGATATCGATCAGGAGCCAGGAATTAAACGGACACACGCGACCCTACTGCCAATCATTTTCTCTGCGTTAATCGTTGGGTCAAACAATCGAGCCACGTGATGCCACGAACGGCGGTACGTTTTAATTAAAGCGGTGACGTAACTTGGAACACCTCGAAATACACTTTGACGCATCGTCGAATAACGATCGCGCGCGACAGAAGGATCCGGGAAGCCGGACGACAAGTTTCGGCGAAGGTAAATCAACAAATCGTACATTTTGCGTCCACGGAATCCAGATTTGCAGGGAAAAGATACAGCGGGAAACTTGGATCAAAAGTCTGTACGTCGACCTTGTCGTCTGGATCCTTCCTCCATTCGATCGATCCACGCTCGATTGCGGCTCGAAGTTACGTTACCGGTTTGTTCACGTTTCCGAAGTGACGAAGGCGTGGGGAGTGAGCAAATCAAACGAACAATTATTGTAACTGCTATTAGCATCGTTGTAAGAAGAAAGAGAGATCATGGCGCGAATGTGTGAGTATGCCTGGGTATCGAGATTCTACACTGTGGCGCGGCCGCGGCCGCGATCGAACCGTACATGTATAAATCGCGATTTTCCTCTGTGTTTCGAGCGATGTCAACGCAATGATGGCGACGCGGCCAACGCGCCACGACTGAAAACTGTATTAGGTCGATGGTGTGGCGTTTCGAAGCATTGTGTCGATCGTAGAATCGATAAAAATAAATTGATATCCTGTAAAGTACTATAAAACAAGTCGGGACTCGACGACTCTTCATTTCGAACACCTCCTCCCGATTTTTAAGATCGAATACAATTTTCGAGGCCAATATATCGAATTCTAAACGACAGTTCTAACGTAATGTAATAATGATAATACGTCCTATTTCCGGGTTTGATCCACCTTTTATGCAAATAATAATATATATATAAACTGCATATATACAAAAGAGTAATACAAGAGAGTATGGAGGATATTTTTGATTTAGATCAAAATCAAAAATAGGTTCCAAGTTTTCCCGTATAAAAATTGGCTGCACTTAATTTGACCAGCGCGTACTAACCAATCAACGAAGATCGAATTAGCAAAGATACAGAGGACGGGTAGTTTAAATATAACATTTAATAAAAAAAAAAAATTAATTGACACACTGATGTAGGGAAACAGTAGATTCGAGTATTACAAAAATTCGACTAGTATCCGGTGAGTTCCGCGAATGTGGAGTCCATGTCGTCGCAGATGTACTTGTACTTCTCTTTTTCTCTGAAGAGAAAGTCTGAAAAGCGAGAAGAAGATTCGGACGAAGAGTAAATACGATCGTTGGATATAAAAATAGGAAGAAATATTCTTGGAGCGTACCTTCTCTTGCGTCCAGCTCTTTCGAGAATACTTTTACCATTTTTTCCGCGATGATCGCCCTCTTCTCGGCGGTTTTCAGTTTCGCTTTCAATTCCTTTAACTGCAATTTGAACTCTTCCACCCTTTGATTGGCCTACGAAAGTCCCAAGATATTGCGAAGCATTGTTCAATAATATATTTAAGAGACGGTGATTACCTTCTCTTCGGATACTTCTAGCGACTTTAATATGTTGCCAACGATGAACAGCTCGTCCTCTCGTTCCATAATTTTTCTGAAATTGTACGGTGGTTAAAAAATAGTCAAATATTTTTGAGAAAAGAAATTTTTTTTAAATTTTATTATATTCTTCTTTTTCCTTCTTGTTCACAGTTGTCAATGGAATAATATAAAAATAATTACATTATTTGACATTTGGGTCAATCAATGCGTTACTTTATTATATTATTATAGAGTTTGGATCCTCTTCGTACAGCGTCGAAGAAGAAACTCGCTACAATTCGAAAATAAAAACAAGTAGAGCTGATGTTTATTTTTCTCGTAAGCAGGATTCATTGCTAAGGCGGACGCTTAATAATAATAATGAAAAATGTACGTACATGTGACGTAGGACTCAAGAAAAGTTGCTTAAATAAAAGAAAACATTTTATAGTTAGAAAAGACAGAAACGAAAGAAAGTGTCCAAGAGAAAAAGCTTAGTTTACTTACTGATACAAGAACACAAAATCATGACGAACGTAATACGATCGTAAAATGTTTTGTTTTACAAGTTATCGAAGAATTCTTTGATAGTTTATCGGACTTACGCCTCGCTCGATTTGACTCTTTCTTCGGCAGCTTCCAGTTCGTCCTCGACGAACGCCAATTTTCGAGAGATCTCGTCCGATTTTGTGTCAGCGTCCTCGGCGATGAGTCTCGCCTCCTTCAGCTGCGCCATCAGTTGGTCCATCCTCTCTTCGTCCTGCTTGCTCCTGTTCTCCAGTACTTTGCAAATCCTGAAACGAACCGTTTCTATTCTAAAGGGAATCGAGAATTCCTGAAACAACAGAAAAGTCCTAACGAGCATTGGGTCTTTGTTTCTTAGTTACGCCGCAACGATATTTTAAAATTTTAACTTGAAATTTTTGTCAGGATTGCTGTCGTCCTTATTTTAAATAAATTCGACCGTACTGTTTTTACAAAAAGGGATTTAATCAATTACATAATTTCCACTAGTTTCTATTACCTTCTCCTACCGTTCCACGAGTTTTTGAATACCATTTTCTTGACGATTTATTTTCTTAACACATTTCGATACTCGATCCAAGAGATTCGAACTCAAACACCAAAATGGCGTCACTATATTTCTAATATTCTATCATCTTAGAAAAGATAATTGAAATCGAGATGGTAAAATTGTACTGTAATTGAATCCAGTTATCTGAAGATGAAACTCGTATTACGTAATACGAACAATCCAGTTGTATGCTGGTCCCTAGAGTCAGAAAAATCGAGATCTACTATACTGCAATGGCACCACTCGATGAATGCATTCTTGCCTGACAAATGAACAGTCACTTGGTATCAAATAATATTAAAAGCAGAAAATACAGCCAATGACAACGAGTAACGGAGATATATTCGTATTGTATCGATTACCGCGATAGTTGCACGCGCTTCGATACTTGCAAGAAACGAGAATCTACCAGTAGATCAGTGTTATACGCGGATACCCACGTTCCATAAGACTTTTCTCCTATGCTGAACGCGCAGAATAACCGTTGGTGACCATCAATTTCCAGGTATTGTGTATACAAACCGTTTCGCGTCCTCCGCAGTTTCCATAGCCTGGGCCAGCTTCGTCTGGGCGATCAAACGACGTTCCTCGGACTTTTCTAAATTCTGCAAGCACTGTTGCATCTTTCTGTTCAAAACCGCCAGCTCCGACTGAGTCTGTCCGCGTCCAAATCAGAAACAATATACCATGAGCACACGGTACACCCGTTACAAACAATGATTCGCGTCCGCGTGATCGCCGCAAATTACCGACCACTATGTAGACCCTCTCTTTTTGATCGAGGTCCCTGTTCGACTTCTCCAACTGTGCCTTGCTCAGCTGCAAGTCGCGCCCCATCTGCGACAGTTTCTTCGCCAATTCTCGTACCTCGTCCCTGAGCTTCTCCTCGCGTCGATTCGCCTCTTTCGCCTGCTGATCGCACATGTCGGCCCTGTCCATCGCCAGGTCTTTCTCGATCTTCAGGGTCTGCAGGCGTTTCTTGATCGCGTTCATGACTGCGACGATCGATCGAGTCTCGACGCGAACCTAAATCGAGACAAAGAGAAATTCAATCGTATCGAACGGAATTACTAATCCCACTTTCGTTACTTTCGTCCTGACGTCTTCTTTACTTCCAAAATGGTCCTTCGAAAACGTCTAAAACAAATAATATTCGTTACTCGCGTAACACGTAGAATTTTTCGACCGTCTTTGAACTACAGATTTCTTTCTCGAGGTTCTTAGTATGATCGTTGCATTATAAAAAATACATATCAGCGTGCAAACAAAATGACATTGATGGGGGGAAAAGAAACATGAATCGTAATGTTCTTCGAATCAAATTTTATATATTCTTTTCGTAAAAAATAACGAAGATATTGAGACGTGGAAGATTAAGTAAGCACCCCCTGTATAGGGGTATTTGATTATAATAGAAAAATTTGCAAAATATTGCTTCAAGATCCCACGGATCTTTGTATTCTCGTTTCAATTTCGTAGTCGCCTCGTTGCTACGCTTCAGTGATACGCACTTTTTAATGCATTATCGAATATTAAGGCACTTCGACACTTGTACGAGACGTGAGAATTAACTATGGATTTTACGTACCGGCGTTCGAAAAATCAAATTTCCGAAGATTCGAGTCCTATCGGTCTCTCAAAGCAAGTGCTCGCGGGTTACTGCACTCCGTGACCGGCGAGGACAATGCTTTATAAACTCAAAGAAATGCAAAAGGAACAAACAGTCTGTTTCTTTAGTTAGACGCAGACGAATTCTTCGACTTCTCTGGACGTTTCTATTCTCCCGATCGTTCGTAAATGGCCACGCAAATTTCGTAGCGGCGCTGTTAGGAACATTTTTAAAGAACATCTATTCTATCGCAACCGCGTTAAATGGCAAAATATCACGCTGGAAACGACAGTACCGTACGCGCTAAAAATGTACAAAACGGGAAACAAAATTGCACACGGTTGCAATAAATAACATATGCGGAAGAAAATAACCTAACTTTAAAACTAATATCGTTTGTAACAAAAAATAATTTGTAGATCGCTCGTTTTTATTTCGATCGTCGGGGAGACATCGGGTTCTCGAGATACTCAGAATAAAGTGACTGTTCCTCGATCGAATATAGTAAGGAGATCAAAGAAGTGAAAAACGACGCGCATGCATGTTTCTTTTTTTTTTCTTCTTTTTTTTTAAATACCAATTTATTGAAAATTCAGATTTGATATACAACGATAAAAAGGGGGCGCAGTATCGTGCTTGGTTTCATGTTTCGCGAACTCCTCCTCGGTACCTCTGAAAGAAAAATAGGTGATCTATCGTAAATTCTAACGAAAACAAGAAAGGCTGTCGCTCCTGAAGCCACTCCGGCCGGTTAACGCCGATCCCGAAGCCTCGTCCAGGATGTTATGCGAAGCAAAGCGGTTTTGGCAAAGCGATATTTTTCATTTTTTCTTTTTTTGTTAACAAACTAGCAATATACATCGTTTGTTCGCCCGTTAGTCGCGTTATTCGCGTAGCAAGTTATTCACGAAGCACCTCGAGACGTGTCACGATACGCTGTAACGAATAAAATCGGCGTTGGCTGAATGCAGATGGCTGAAAGTCCGAAGTACGGCGTCCGTGTTAAATGTAGCGAACAAGCGAATAAAGCACAGAATAACAAAATAAAAGAAACTCCGTCCGTGTCCGTGACTTTAGTATCCGGTCATTTCCGCGAACGTGGCGTCCATGTCGTCGCAGACCGCCTTGTACTTCTCCTTTTCTTCCCGAAGCTCGTCTGTAACAGAACAATCGTTCACGGCGCGTCCGACAAATCACCAATTAAATCTAATTATCGTTCGTACTCGCCTTCCTTCATGTCCACTTCCTTCAACAACTTCTTCACCGTCCTTTCGGCGAGAATGGCGCGTTTCTCGGCCTCCTTCAACTTCTTCTTCAGCTCCTTCAGCTGCACCTTGAAGTCCTCTACTCGTTGGTTAGCCTACACCAGGAGATCGCTGATTAAACGTTAATCTTCTCTACGGATAATATACAGTCCAATCTGTTCGTTACGCGATGCAAGAATTGTGAACAGCGTCTACCATAAAATGCACGGAATCTCGCTTATTATAACTCTCGCGGCAAAAATGTATACAACTATCGTTGAAGATCGCAATTGGAAACTTTTGTCCCCTATAAGAATTTTCGATAGAGTCGATGTTAATCGAGATATCGGTCAAAATGAACCTAAACCGTTCTACCTTACGAGTTCGAGCAACGACAGAGCATTTTTTACTTGATACTAATACGCGATTACCTTCTCCTCGGATACTTCTAAGGATTTTACGATATTCTGCACGATGAACAGCTCGTCCTCTCGTTCTATGATTTTCCTGTGGACACGTTCGCTAGCATAAGCAAAGCGTCGCTGGACGCCGACGGAAAGATCAGTGTAACGAAATTATACAAACGCCTCGCTGGTTTTCACTCGTTCCTCCGCCCCCTCCAATTCTTCTTCAACGAACTGCAGCTTCTTCGATATCTCGTCGGACTTTGCGTCGGCGTCCTCGGCGATCAGTCTGGCGTCCTTCAGCTCTTGCATCAGCTTCTCCATGCGTTCCTCGTCGAGCCGACTTCTGTCTTCCAGCACTTTGCACATTCTGCGAACAAAAGCAACAGTTACTATATAAAAATATCAGAAAATAAAACAGTTTCTTTAGGCAATGCTCTTCGTTTAGGCAATGTTCGCATCTGGTTCGTGCTGATTAATATTTATAAACGCGAAAGAGCAAGAAAAAGAAATTGTATCGCCACCTCCGGGCGTCATCGGCGAGTTCTGACGCGCTTCCAAGCTTCAGCTGAGCGGAAAGACGCAGCTCCTCCTTCTTCGTGAGCGACGCTTCGATCTCTTGGACTCTCTTCGTCAACGTGGTCCGATCCTGCTCCGCCTGTCGACGAGAATTCATCGATAGCAACGTTCTCTAAGACGCTTAACGTTAATAGTTCAAGGAGCCTTTACGCACTCTGGACCAAGACTTCTCGCACTGCTCTAAATCGGCGGTAGAGTGCTCCAAATTGGACTTGGCGACCTCGTAGTCCCGCTCGAGCTGGGCCAGTTTCTTCTGCAGATCCCTCACCTCGTCGTAGAGCTTGTCCGCGCGAAAGTCCTCCGATCTCGCCTTGGTCTCGTTCGCCTCCACCTTCTCGTTCGCGGCGTCCATCTCCATCTTCAGCGCCGCAATTTTCTTCTTAATCGCCTCCATGATGACGACCTGGTGATTCTCTCCCCTTTTATCAGTCGGTCCTCGTCCTCAAACCTGGTGAACCCGTGAAATCAGTTAACCTCAGAGGCGGACTTGAGCTTCATAAAAAAAGTATTTTTTGGAAAATATTTTATTTGAACGTTATACCTGAATCCTCCTTTTGTTAACGTTTTAACCGGGGAGCTAACTCGTCGAAAAATACGAAGAGACAATTGGCATTTAGACCGTTTCGCGTTCAGTTTTATTTTCACATCCAAAGCTGATTCCACTAAAATGACTAACGCTTGTTGACATTATACAATATTTTTATTTTCTCTTTTTTTTTTTAAAAAAATAGGTGCACCGTTTGTAACAAATATTTTAGAGAGGAATTACAGTGAATTATAAACAGTCGGAGACTATTTAAATGTTGACAAAGGGAAAACTCAGCTGACTACCCACGGATATTGACAAGCTTTCGCACGATGAATTTGCATAAAAAAAAAATAGATCGACGCATATATTTTTGCATTCGGTGTTCAAAATATTGTCGAATATTACTTCCCTTGTAACAATGTGATTTTTACTGTGTTTTTACTATTTTAACATACGAAAGGACAGTTTGCCAGAGTATTAGAAGATATCTAATGGCTTTAAAAAAAAAAATACAAGATATATAAACGCTATAAAGATCGTTCCGCGCGTTGTCATTTTTACCTTCAGTTTCACAACTCTTGATTACTGACACTTTTTTTAAAAACATCAGGTTGCTTCTGTTTTTATTAATTATGAAGTAAATGTTGATCGTTGAGAAAGTGTCGGCTAAAAAATGAATTAATAAAATTGTTCCAAAGGTATTCTAATGATAGAGTGATCGAGCATGACCCATATAGTAGTTTTTTAGCCTAGTGAACAGTTACATGAAAAACAAATGCTCACAATTTCAAACAATTGTATTTTGAATGCTAAGGTCCTCCTCTGAGGATTCGTTCTTATATTACCACAGGACATCTTACACCTTCGATTCTTGATTCACGACTAAAAACAAAAGACGTCTCCGTATCAAAAATCCGTTTCTATTACGTGCAGGAGGAGACATACATAGACGCGCTGGCCTAGTCGGATTATGATCGCAACGTTTGATGGAAGAAATCGTGAAAATTTTTCATAGAAACTGCTAAACAAACACGCGTAATATCGGTCTTATATAATGAAAAACAACTGGTGCCACAATTCACCTACTGCGTGCAAGTCTGATATCTTTTACGCGAATGCAAATATAAGACTACGATTAGTTAACGAGTAACGCGACTATAATATCGAAGCTTTCGTACGACCATCGATTGGATATCACAATTAAAACAGTTTGATACAAAACGATACTTCGCTCTTCGATATCGATAGCACCGATTCGATATTATATTCATCGGCGAACCTACGAGAAAAACGTAGCGAATCAACGTCCGAATTGAAATATTAAATTAGGTACTTACTTCACCCTGTATCGTTCGGCGCCACGGGGCGATATTAAATGAATCCGCGGCGCGTTACGAGGACGTCGCGACGCGTTCGCTACTCGCCGACAAACAACGTTTATTTAATAACAAGCATCGGGCGAGGGAAATAACCAATCGGTGTTAAAAGGAGGACAACACTCACTGTAGTCGTAGCGATGATCCGCGATGAGTATGCACAACCGGATGCCTTCGAAAGCTAAGCTAAAATAAAACGATACCGGCGTCGCGGGCCTCCTCGAACTCCTCGATCCAATCCAATTCTATAATTGATTGTCGCCTTGTTGGCCGTCGTCCCGATTTTAACCCGGCTCTTCACTGGTCGATTGCTCGTCACCGTACTGACTACCAACGAAACGCGATCTCCGCCTCCCTTATGCTATTCTCGGCTCGAAAGAATTCCGTTCCTGTTTCCTGTCGACCACGTAACCGACACTTCACGGTAAACACCATACCGCCAATGGGAACACTATCCGTCCCGTTGTTTCGCGGTATCTCGATAATATTTTTCTGTATTCCGCCGTCCCGTCGCGCGCGCGCTCATTCGAACGTTCAAATTTTCCCGCGTTCGCGGGTGCAAACAGCTTCGACGGATACATCGAACAGAAGCCGAGCTACGACCGCTGCATTCTCGCAAACGGGTACGCGTCTATTTTTAGATTTACGAGGTATACGAGTAGACTACACCACGGACGAGATATACGAGTAGACCTTTCGTGGCCCAATCTGACTGCCATACCGACCTGAAAATTCGGAGCTGATTTTAGCGGCCTCTTCTCACGGATGGCGGTCAGTTGAGAAACTATTCATTGAATTAGCATTGATGGGCCAGACAGCTGTAGTGTATACGTAAGTCATGTGAGTGACTATGGAAGGGATTAAAATTATTTTTGAATCTATCGGTAACGTTGCGAATGATACGGAAATGGTAATGGGGTCTCGAGATCCCAGAGAAACGGGCCGAAAAAATACATTAGGTGAAAGGTCTACTCGTATATCTCGTTTGTGGTATTATCACAGACGAGGTATATGAATAGACCTTTCACCTAATGTAATTTTTCGGCCGGAGTTTCTGGGGCCCCGGGACCCCATTACCATTTTCGTATCACTCGCAACGTTATCAACAGATTCAGAAATTAACACAAGAGGAAGTGAGACAGAAAATAAAATTACATAAATTTTATTATTTTTGAACGGAATTAAAGCTGTAGGGTCCATCGTTGGACATTGAGGGGGCTGGAGGTTCAAGTGACAAACCTCAATCTACCCCAACAATTATTAAAGTGTTTATTTCGCGGGTGTCGGGGGTGTAGCCACACGTAGGTCAAAGTTAATAACACTGGCTTCGCAAACGCGCGACGTCTTAGCCAGACTGAGGTCTAAAATAGACTGGGGGTCTTTCTTCTCACGTCCCCTGAATATATACAATTTCTTACCCTAATAGCAAAGGTAGAGAAAAAGAGACAGGACAGAAAGACGGAAAAACGAAACTGGAAAATACTCAGTATAGGAAAAGTTTAGCGAAAGCGAGTCATAAAAGTCAAGAGGCTCGCCGGGCCCGGATCAGGGTGGTCCGAGGCCCAGGCGAAACCTTGAGGGAAAACAGACGCCTCGCACGGCTCTGGTCGCCAAGTGTTTAACAGGACGACCAGGCTCGCACGAGACCCTGGGAAAATGGAAAAATAGAAAGCTTAAAACTATCCTTACATTCCATTCCCATTCATACTCTGGCAAGGGCGTAGTGGCTATACAATGGCCGCTACATCACCCCCCTGCCAGTGATTGACCAATCACGAAACAAATATCCCATACAGTCAACCAAACATACAGACAAAAAACACAATATATACAGTACACATAAATAATTTGCACCCATACTATATAACACTTTGTCCATACATATCCATACTCATACAATACAATAAAAAATCACTCATCCATCCATTCCGCTAATAATTACCCTATATCTACGCGTTACCCTACGTGCGGCACATATTTACAAAATACCTTTCTTAACATTATTAAAAATATTTGATTTTGCATAACTGCAATCGATCCGGGAACCGAACTCGTCTCCCGGAACGCGTAACTCGCGGATTTTGCTGCGGCGCCGGACTGGCCGCTTGGGTCGTCTGCGGAGATGGGGTCGTGTCCCCTTCCGTCGCATCAGACATTGTATACGCCGGCTTTAACCTATCAACGGTGATAGTCACCGGCTTATTTTTAATATTAACGACGAATGTCTTTGGACCACGGCTAACCACCGTATATGGTCCATCGTAAGGTGGCTGCAGCAGGCTCCGGACCTTATCGTTCCGTACGAATACCTGCTCAGCCACCCCCAAGTCCTTGAACACAAATGTTTTTCTCGCCCCATGGCGAGTAACCGGAGCTGGCGCTAACTCGCGAAACTGCACGCGCAGCTCCTTCGCGAAATCAGCCACGTCCGGATCTGTCGCGGCTGGTCGCGGCGATAAAAATTCTCCAGGCAAACGCAGCGTTTCGCCGTAAACAAGCTCCGCTGCCGTCGCCTTTACGTCTTCCCTCCAGGCTGCGCGGATGCCCAGCAGTATGGTGGGAAGCACCTTTGTCCACTGCACCTCCTGATGACAGCGGATGGCTGCCTTCATCTGGCGGTGCAGACGCTCCACCATGCCATTGGCCGCCGGATGGTACGCCGTCGTCCTGAGATGCGATGTCCCAGTCAGCTCACCTAAGTGTCTGAACAGGTGCGACTCGAATTGCCTGCCCTGGTCCGTCGTAACGCGAAGAGGGGTCCCGAACCGGGTAATCCATCCCTCGTAAAACGCCCGCGCTACCGTCGGTGCCTCCTGATCCCTCAACGGGAACGCTTCCGGCCACCGCGTAAATCGGTCGACGCAGGTCAGGCAATATCTGTATCCCTCGGAAACGGGCAACACCACAATATCAATGTGAATGTGCTCAAATCGTCCCGAGGGCGCAAACGTTCCGAGCGGCGAATGCACGTGTCGCGTCACCTTCGACCGCTGACACTCGACGCACTCGCGCGCCCACTTTTTACAATCGGCCTTGACCGACGGCCACACAAAACGTTCGGTCACTATTCTAACCGACGCTTTAATCCCCGGATGGGCAAGTCTATGTAACGTGTCGAAAGCCGCCCGACGGAACGACTTTGTCAAAAACGGTCTTACCGACCCGGTCGACACGTCGCAATACACCAAACGGTGCGTACCCGGAACCCCCACTCGCTTCAACCGTAACGCGCTCCCGATTTCTCCACGCAGGTACCGTTGAAGCTCCTCGTCGGATTCCTGGGCCCTTCCGAGGTCATCGTAGTCGAGGAGTCCGTTGACCTCCTCAATCCTGGACAGGGCGTCCGCCACAACGTTGTCCTTACCGGCCAGATGTTGGATGTCGGTGGAAAACTGCCCAATGAAGTCCAGATACCGGAACTGCCTGGGCGTACACTTCTCAGGCTTTTGCCGAAACGCAAACGTGATCGGCTTATGGTCGGTGTAAATAGCAAACACCCGACCCTCAACCATGTGCCTGAAGTGTTTGATGCCCAGGTAGATCGCCAGCAGTTCCCGGTCGTATGCTCCATACTTCCCTTCGGCGTCGGTCAGCTTCTTGGAGAAGAACGCCAATGGCTCCCAGCCGCTGTCCGTACGCTGTTGGAGTACCGCGCCGACGGAGAAATCGGACGCGTCGCAGGTGAGCGCGAGGGGGGCATCGCTACGCGGGTGCGCCAATAACGCGGCCTCCGCTAAAGCCCGTTTCGAGGCCTCGAACGCGGCTATCGACACCGGCGTCCAAGTAACAGGCGCTCGACCCTTTACATTGTCCTTTAGCAGGTCATTTAACGGCGCTTGTACCTGCGCAGCCCTAGGTATGAACCGTCGGTAAAAGTTCACCATACCTAGGAACTGCCGCAATTGTTTTACCGTCACGGGTTTCGGATATTCCGCTATCGCGCGCACCTTATAGTCTAGCGGTCGCGAACCCTTTTCCGACACTTCGTAACCGAGAAAATGTACCTGCGGTTTACCGAACGCGCACTTCCCGGAATTCACTACGATGCCGTAGTCCTTAAGCCTATTAAATAATGTTTTTAAATGTTCAACGTGCTCCTCTTCGGATTGCGACGCCACGAGAATATCATCGATGTACGCGTACGCGAAATCTAAACCGCGAAGCACCTCGTCGATGAACCTTTGAAACGTCTGTGCCGCGTTACGCAATCCGAAGGGCATGGCCGGAAACTCGAACATCCCGAACGGGGTAGTCACGGCCGTTTTGTGCACATCTTCGGTGGCTACCGGTATTTGATTATACGCGCGCACTAAATCTATGGTAGTGAATACACGCTTACCATGCAGCGACTGCGCAAAGTCCTGAATGTTTTTTACCGGGTACCTGTCCGGCAATGTCCTCGCGTTCAGGGCCCGGTAATCACCACACGGTCGCCACTCACCCGGTCCCTTCTTCGGCACCACGTGCAGCGGGGATGACCAGCTACTTTCCGACGGACGGGCAACCCCGAGCTGTAGCATCGCGTCGAACTCCCTTCTCGCTGCCTTCAGCCGATCCGGCGCCAAACGGCGTGGCCTGCAGGTGACCGGTTGACCTGCTGTGGTTTTAATGTAATGCACCGTAGAGTGTTTCGCTGCAGCCGGAATCCCCATCGGTTTGGTGATTTCCGGGAATTTCTGCAGCAACTCCACGTACACCGAACTACCGGTTATTGTCTTTACGCGCGGAATGTTCGACGCACTTTCACCTGCCGGCTGTCCCGGCACCGACAGCGACGTCACATTGTCTATTAATCTACGGTTCCTAATATCTACAAGAAGTCCATAATAATATAAAAAGTCCACGCCGATTATCGGTTTGGAAACCTCGGCCACAACAAATCTCCAGGTGAACGCCCGACGTAAACCTAAATCTAACGTCAGCGTGACGGCCC